GGTTCTGAGAGAGGATCTTGAATGCTGCCAAGTAGCCTCACACTTGTATTCCTTTCTTTATCCAGTCTGTAGCCAAAGCCAATGCAACCAATTCATGGTATTGTAACTGATGTATTTTGTGGGGACCAAATGACCCCACAAATATTGCAATACCAGTCAATTCTTACCTTGTGGGGACCTCTTTTTTTTGGCCGGCATGAGTTTAAGTGCTCATAAATGACACTGATTGAAGTATTTTGAAAATGTAAAATGCAGATGGTTTCCTGCGGGTTGACGGGTAGTGTTGGGGTTGGCAGATAGAATATGCAGTCTGTACAGTATAAAAATGATGTCTCTTTATGTCTTTGAGAAGTCGCCATCAAAATGTGTGTGACATGACAATGTAAACATGGTTTATGAGGACCTGTAGCTTAAAACTGATTTTAATACAATAGGCATAAAAAGAAACACTAAACTGTGTAATATTTTACATTGTTATCTAAATTTGGCAGAAGTGTTCTGCAAAGGCTGGATTTAGGATAAGAGGATAGATTATACAGTTTGTACAATTCAATCATTACAACTATATTATATAACTGCTTGTGTGTTGCTTGTGCGTATGTGTGTGTGTGCGGACACTTTTAAAGATGAAGAAGGAACTTGGGGTCGCTGTTTTGAGTTCCCCTGAGCTGTATGTCTTCACAAATCTTGAATATCACAATATTATTAAATATTAAAGTTATTTGAATATCAACAGCAACACTCTCGTACAATACCCAGCTGATTCAGTCGTCGCCTAGTGACATAAAAAAGCTTTTTTTTCTTTTTCTTGTCAACAAAAAAGGCAGTGAGGTGCGCTTTACGTTTTTGCAACGTAAGTGCGCTTTCAGTGTGATCGGCCTCTTAGTATGCAAAACATATCACACTTGAGAAGATTATCAGTTAATATTACCTTTAAGCAATACAAATCCAATTCTTTAATGAAAAGGAAAATATGTTTAAAAAAGTCTTGTAATTCCTATTTCTTAACAATTAATTATTATTATTATTATTATTGTTGCTGTTATTATTATTATTATTATTTTTATTATTGTTGTTGTTGTTGTTACTATTATTATTGTTGTTGTTGTTGTTACTATTATTATTGTTGTTGTTATTATTATTATTAATACTATTATTATTATTATATTATTATTATTACTATTATTATTGGTTTTTTTATTATTATTATTACTATTATTATTGTTGTTTTTATTATTATTATTGTTACTATTATTATTGTTTTTGTTATTAATGTTATTGTTATTATTATTATTACTATTATTATTGTTGTTTTTATTATTATTATTGTTACTATTATTATTGTTTTTGTTATTAATGTTATTGTTATTATTATTATTACTATTATTCTTGTTGTTTTTATTATTATTATTGTTACTATTATTATTGTTGTTGTTATTAATATTATTGTTATTATTATTATTACTATTATTATTGTTGTTTTTATTATTATTATTGTTACTATTATTATTGTTTTTGTTATTAATGTTATTGTTATTATTATTATTATTACTATTATTCTTGTTGTTTTTATTATTATTATTGTTACTATTATTATTGTTGTTGTTATTAATGTTATTGTTATTATTATTATTACTATTATTATTGTTGTTTTTATTATTATTATTGTTACTATTATTATTGTTGTTGTTATTAATATTATTGTTATTATTATTATTACTATTATTCTTGTTGATTTTATTATTATTATTGTTACTATTATTAATGTTGTTGTTATTAATATTATTGTTATTATTATTATTACTATTATTCTTGTTGTTGTTGTTATTGTTATTATTGTTAATGGTAATAGTAATAAAAGCATTAACGACTTGAGTAATTATTTCATTTGAATCTACATACAATAATTAATAAATATTTTTCATAAATAATTAGCAATTTAACTTTTTTTTTCAACATTTAGTAAATGATGAACAGAATAATTTTATTTAAAAAACATGTGGAAAAACTAACCCCAAACTTTTGACCAGTAGTGAGTTTGCGTTTGTAGCATGTCAATGTAGGCATGGTTTGTAGAGACCTGTAGCTTACAAATGCTGTAAAAACAAAACATACTAAATGGTGAATTATTATTATTATTATTAATATTATTAACTAAATTTGGCTGGAATTTTCTGTGAGGACTGGGTTTAGGAGAAGAGGTTAGAATATACAGTTTGTACAGTGTAGTCATGTCCCTGTGAACTTCTGTGTGTGAGTGTGGTGTTGGGGGGCAGGGAGCAGATCTTTTTGTTGCGCACCAGGTGCCATTGTCACTCAGTGTCAGTCACAGCAGGGACTCTCTCTCACACACACATACACACACAGCACACACAAACACACACAGACACACACACACACAGATATCTCATGTCTAGCGAAGGCCTGATATATGTTTGTCTTTAAAGAGTCACAGGCGTCTGCATCCTCTGGGGGCTGGTCTGAATCCTCCACCTGTGTGCGAGACGCCTGTGAGCCGCGGTCCCGCTGGGGCTGATGGGTAGACAGACAGCTCCTGTAGGGCTGATCCGCAGGGAGCAGCTTAATGAGGCTTTCCTGAGCTCCCTCACAGCAGCCGCAGGCTTAATGACACTGACAGGACAGCAGACGGCCCTTCGCAGACCAGACCAATTGCATGACACAGATGAGACTGTGATAGTGTGCTTGCGCTGCTGTAGTGTGAATGGACAAAGACTCAACAGTTTGTGGATGTGACATTATCTGATGGGTAAACACAGTCAGCCCACATCACCTGAGGCATCACCTGCAGATATTCCTCCTCGCACATCTGACTAGATGGAGTCTGTACTACACTAAAAGACTGCACTACACTATAATGTGGAGGTGGGCAAACTTTTTAGACCAGATGCCACATCAAGGTTTGCAAACCAAGTGAAGGGCCACATGCCAAATCCTGCAGAACTTTTATTTGTAGTATCCGTATGCATGGAACATGTATTATCTGACAGAAACATGTCACGTTAACACGTAAGATTTATGTTACACGTCAGTCTGCATGTTCTCCACTTGTTGGCGTGGGTTTGGTTCTTTGGTTCTCCACACACTGAAACACTGTGTGTGACATGAGAATGTCCTCATTGTACAACATTAAAACTGGAATTTATAATCAACAGAGCTGATGTTCCTCATATATTACTTTTATGACATTTTTATGTTATACTATAGCTTAATATATTGATTGTTTCTCATACCAGCTGCATTTCAAGCAATAAACAACTCTAAATGTTTGCTAGATACTTCTTAACCCATCTAGCTACAGTGCATGTGGAAAGTATTCATAGCGCTTCACTTTTTCCACATTTTTTATGTTACAGTCATATTCCAAAATGGATTAAATGAATTTATTTTCTCAAAATTCTACACACAATACCCCATAATGACAATGTGACAAAAGAGTTTTTGGAAATTGTTGCAAATTTATTAAAAATAAAAAACTTGATACATCACATGTACATCAGTATTCACAGCCTTTGCTCAATACTTTGTTGATGCACCTTTGGCAGCAATTACCGCCTCAAGTCTTTTTGAATATGATGCCACAAGCTTGGCACACCTGTCTTTGAGAATTTTTGCCCATTCTTCTTTGCAGTACCTCTCAAGCTCTATCAGGTTGGATGGGAAGCGACGGTGTACAGCCATTTTCAAATCTCTCCAGAGATGTTCAATAGGATTTAGGTCTGGGCTCTGGCTGGGCCACTCAAGGACATTCACTGAGTTGTTGTGAAGCCACTCTATTGATATTTGGGCGGTGTGCTTTGGGTCATTGTCCTGCTGGAAGATAAACCATCGCTCCAGTCTGAGGTCAAGAGCACTCTGAAGCAGGTTTTCATTCAGGATGTCTCTGTACATTGCTGCATTCATCTTTCCTTCTATCCTGACTAGTTTTCCAGTTCCTGCTGCGGAAAAACATCCTCACGGCATAATGCTGCCACCACCATGCTTTACTGTAAGGATGGTATTATCCTGGTGATGAGCGGTGCCTGGTTTTTTTCTAAACGTCACGCCTGGCAAAGAATTCAATTTTAGTCTCATCAGACCAGAGAATTTGGTTTCTTATGGTCTGAGGGTCCTTCAGATGCCTTTTGGCAAATTCCAGGCGGGGAGTGGCTTCCGTCTGGCCACTCTACCATACAGGCCTGATTGGTGGATTGCTGCACAGATGGTTGTCCTTCTGTAAGGTTCTCCTCTCTCCACAGAAGAACGCTGGAGTTCCGACAGAGTGACCTTCAGGTTATTGATCACCTCCCTGATCCCCGATCACTCAGCTTAGATGGCCGGCCAGCTCTAGGAATAGTCCTGGTGGTTCTAAACATCTTCCACTAACAGATGATGGAGGCCACTGTGGTCATGGAGTTTTTAGAGCAACAGGAATTTTTTTGCAACCTTCCCCAGCCTTGTGCCTTGAGACAATCCTGTCTCTGATGTCAACAGACAATTCCTTTGTCTTCATGCTTGGTTTGTGCTTTGACATGCACTGTCAACCCTGGGACCTTATATAGACAGGCGTATGCCTTTTCAAATCATGTCTAATCAATTGAATTTACCACAGGTGAACCAAATAATTAATTACCAATTAAGCTGAAATTAACGCTTTCAGTGGAAACAGAATGTACCTGAGCTCAATTTAGAGCTTCATGGCAAAGGCTGTGAATACTTCTGTACGTGTGATTTTACAGATTTGTACTTTTAATAAACTTGCAACAATTTCAAAAAGTCTTTTTTTTTCACATTTTCATTATGAGGTATTGTGTGTAGAATTTTGAGGAAATAAATGTATTTAACTCATTTTAGAATAAGGCTGTAACAAAAAATAATGTTGAAAAAATGAAGCGCTATAGATACTTTAAAGAAATAAGGTGAAGTGTTCCTTTAAGACTGATTTTATAGGTCATAATCGCTTATGCAAACAATTTAAAAAAAATTTCTTTTTTTTTTTATAGATTCGTCTAAAGAATCATCCAAAGAAAAGAAGGAGAAAGACCCAGGAAAAGAGTCCACAAAAGAAACCAAGAAAGACTTTGGAAAAGAGAAGGAGGCAAAGGTGTCAACGAAAGAGTCTAGAAGAGAGTCAACAAAGGAGCCCAAAAAAGAGTCAACAAAGGAGCCCTCAAAAGAGTCGTCAAAGGACAAGGAGTCACCCAGAGAGAAAGAGCCATCAAAGGAGAAGACCAAGGTGTCCAGAAAGTCTTCCGTGAAGGCCAAAGAGAAGAAGTCTGAGGCGGGAGACGGCTGAAAACACTTGCATTTTATTAGCCGCATCTCATCCTGAGCTTTTTGCTGTAATTGTAGAGTCAATAGCATAGTGGCGGCAAAAAGCATACAAAGGTTTGAGTGTTTTCACTCTCATTGAAGGTAAGTGGACATGTAGGACTTTATATTTAAACTCAGCTGTCTGCAGCATGTAGTCTGTGTGTCCATCGTCTCCCACTGCTCAGCGAAGGCCAACCCTGACGTCCGATCAGCGAGACCACAGGAATAACCACAGCACCACCACCTACTGTTCTTTATCTCCATCTGTTTGAATCTCGGTCAGAGCTCTACCTCTTTACATTTCAGTTCAGTTCATTAGTAGAGGTGCAGAATTGAGAGAAAACATCATTAAAATCAAAGGAAATTCCTCTGGATCTGTAGTTTTTCTCAAATTTCTTGGGATGAAATTAGCTTGTTATCAAATTGGAACCTATAGTTGCTGTCTGGTGGAAACCTTCTATTTTGACATTTCAACAAGTTAATGCTTTTGATCAATCGTTATTTATGTCTGTGTGTTTTAAAAAATCTTTAATCAATGAAAAAAGTTAAGTCTGGTCATTCTAAAGCCTTTCCTTACTCAAGAAACAGCAAATGCTTGTGTTTCATAGGTTTGTGGAGCACAGAAGAGTGTCTAGCATTCGCCATCAGGTCAAATTTAGTTTAGTTTAAAGAGAAAAATCAGCCAAAAATGAACGTTTACTCACTATTTACTTGACTTGACTTACTACACTGTTCTTGACTTGTTCCAAACCTGTATGAGTTTCTTTCATCTGCTGAACACTAAAGATGATATTCTGACGAAAGCTCAAAACCATTGACTTCCATAGTAGAAACAACAAATACTATGGTAGTCAATGGTTACAGGTTTCCAGCTTTCTTCAAAATGTTTTTTTTTTTTTGTGTGTTTAGCAGAACATCATCAATGTTTTTTATTATGTCCAGATTGGACTACTGCAACTCTTTGTATTCAGGAGTTTCACAGGCTTCAATTGTACGCATGCAGCTGGTTCAAAATGCAGCTGCTAGGCTTTTAATTTTTTTTTAACAAAAAAAAATTCTAGTATCTCACCAGTTTTATCTTCTCTTCACTGGCTCCCAGTCCAATTTAGGATTTAATAGAAGCTATTGCTTCTTGTTTTTAAAGGTTTGAATGGTCTGGCACCTATTTACATCGGTGAGCTTCTTCACTGGCATACTTCATTGAGACCAATCAGGTCAGAAAACAAGTTTCAGCTAGTTGTTCCCAAATCACGGTTGAAATCAAGAGGTGACAGGGCTTTTTCTGTCTCAGTCTGAATGGTCTGCCTTTACATATTAGGTCATGCTCTTCCCTTGGTGCTTTTAAGTCTCATTTAATAAATCACGTTCTGTCTCTTGCTTTTTGATTGCAAATAATTCATTTTTACCCAAACCCCCCTTCTGTACGTGTCTGCTGTTTATAACGAAGTAGAATTTAATAACTTTGCAAACAGAGATAAAACAACTCCGCCTGCACAGTTCAGTCTGCGGCTGCTCATTAACCCTTTATGAGTTCACTACACCGGTGGTCAAACAAACGTGCACCACGGTTGTCATGAATCACAAATGATCAGTGTTTTCAATCACAAGAGACTTATTTTAGATTTCAAATGCCGAAATACACATTATTAGTAGCAGAACAATCATTTACAGTTCATGAAATACCAACCCAGGCTCATTCCGGAAACGTAGCCCCGTGGGAGGTGCGTATTTTTGCAGTTTTTGTTTTCGCGAATACGCGAGAGGCCGCTGTGTGCGATTTTTGGCATCTTAAATGTCTCTCGCGAGTGCCGTTAGCGCCCGCGCTGTTTTCGCGCAAACCCACCAGAGGCCGCTGTCTGACTGACCGATTGATTGACTGCGCGACCGGCCAATCGGCTGACCCACCCTCCTCCTTTCCCTGAACCCAACCAGTTCCACCCATCGACCCGCCCGCCCGCTCACTTCCCTAAACCCGAGCAAAAATTTAGAAAAGCCGTCTATAAAAAGAAAAGCCCCTGCTTCGATTTCTTTATCGCGTTTTCGGATTTCACCACGCTCTCACCCTGTTGTGAACTCGTTCACTTTATTTTTCGGACTCTGTTTTTGTCTTACCTGATTTCTGGAACTGCTCTTCCCAGGATTCGAACCCGGTCGCCATGGTCAACTCCTCCTCTCTGGATCTCAAGTCTGTCGACGCACACGATAGGCTGACTGGATAAACTGATTTCGGCGGGAAAGCCCTCCACACGGAGGTAAGCGGTCAGCCGGTAAGCGCGAAAGGGAACGGCGTCACACCGCCTAGTAGCATTCTTACAAAGACTGAAATACAGCCATACTTACCCCCCGGGACGTATTTCGCAGTCTCCAGAAACGTTCACGGGGCAACGTTTCCAGAATGAGCCTGTGTTGTGAAATACACCATGGTTTACTGTGAAAAGGGCAATAATCATATAAGCATGAGCTGACAACGTGCTTGCTCATGCAGCACACACGTGTGCATAATTAGACATTTTGTGCTGTCCGTATCTGTACTTTTGCACATGCGGGTCAGTTTAGGACCATGATCTGTTCACACTGCAAATCTGATATTGGCCACATTTATAAGAGCAGTGTAAACACCCATGCAAAAAAATCCGATTTGAGCACTAAGCCTGGCAGTGTGAACGTTGCCTAAAGCCTGGTTTATACTTCTGCGTCAAGTGACCGGCGTAACCATCGGTGCATGCAACGCGCGTAGCTGTGCATTTATATTTCTGCGCGCTGTCTCTGTTGGTCTGCATTAACACTTCCGAAACGCTAGTTGGCAGTGAGGTGTAAATGTTCCTCTGTGTCGAGTTTCTTTACTGCTGTTTTGCTTTTCCTGAACACTTCCTGGATGTACAAGTGGCTCAAACTCGCTCATTTTGAGGCAGGAACCGGCGGACGTGCAACAACTGTAACTATGAGGTAAACACAAAGCAAAACTTTCCATCTGGAGCTCCTTCACTGGACTCCACACTTGTAAACAATCGCACCATTGGACTCACCCCCTGCTCGCAACATTCGCGCGGCTCTCGGTCCCGCTCAGACTCGTCAGCTCTACCAAGCCGACCAATCACAGAGCTTGCGCTACGCGTCGTTGCGACGAGTAGTTACATTTTGTGAGAGGTGGCCGTCAGCGACGCCGACGGCCACGGCGAAGGGCTATCCGTCAACGCTGTACCATACGCGTGCGTTTGACGCAAAAGTATAAATCAGCCTTTAGATTTAAGCCTTGACTGGATATTTCACTTCACTAGAACTGTGTTACTACATGGATGGTCATTTTTAAAAAACTCATAATAGAGGCTCTTTAAAGCTTTATTTAATCCCCGTGGGGCAATTCATTCGGACATGGTGCTGCTTCACATAACAAAAATGTCACACTTCATACAATGAAAGAATAAATAAAATGATTATATAATCCATCGATCAACTACATTTATTATGTGACCGAATTGCTTCAGGCATAAAAGTACATTTATAATGTGTTTGTGGAACGTAATTAATCAAAAAAAGCACAATAACAATTTCCATCTGTCAACCACAACAAGGTTTCCATCTGACAGCAGCACATTTGATAACATATTTTTGGTTGAGCACAGACTTCAAGTGTTCAGACATAGATAAATAACTGTCGAGCGATGTTCTGTTTGTTTTTGTTAGGCTTTTTAGACTCTGCATATAATGTACAAAAGAAATATTACAATAATCTACCTTTTCACTGTAAAAAACAGCAGAAACATTTGCTATTCAAAACGTTACATTTTATATCAGGATTTATACCAGCGCTCAGTTATATTTATTATTATCGATGGTCTTTGTTCTAGCTAATACTGAATCCATACTTTTATTATGTATATTGGATTCTGATGTTTTATTTCCAGCTACAATACACTACCTGACAAAAGTCCTGTCGTCGATCCCAGTTGGACGAGCAACAAATAATAACTTGACTTCTAGTTGATCATTTGGAGAAGTGGCAGAAGGTCAATTTTTCTGATGAATCATCTGTTGAGCTGCATCCCAATCATCACAAATACTGTAAAAGACCTACTGGAACCCGCATGGACTCAAGATTCTCATTGAAATCAGTCAAGTTTGGTGCAGGAAAATTCATGGTTTGGGGTTACATTCAGTTTGGGGGAGATCTGCAGAGTGGATGGCAACATCAACAGCCTGAGGTGTCAAGACATTTGTGCTGCCCATTACATTACAAACCACGGGAGAGGGCAAATTCTCCAGCAGGATAGCGCTCCTTCTCATACTTCAGCCTCCACATCAAAGCTCCTGAAAGCAAAGAAGGTCAAGGTGCTCCAGGATTGGCCAGCCCAGTCACCAGACATGAACATTATTGAGCAAGTCTGGGGTAAGATGAAGGAGGAGGCATTGAAGATGAATCCAAAGAATCTTGATGAACTCTGGGAGTCCTGCAAGAACGCTTTCTTTGCTGTTCCAGATGACTATCTGGCTATTAAGTATTTTAATTAAATTTTATTTAATAAGTTTATTAAAATACTTTCGTCAGGTAGTGTTTGTAATTAAACAGTTCACTTTAAACATGTTTTTATCAAAATGATCTGTCTCTCTCTCTCTCTGTAAATCATTTACATTCAGAGGCGGTGATACAATAACTTCTGAATATTAAAATGTACATATGATACAATGCGATGATGAATTCATTTGTGAGTGCGTGTCTGCTCCAAGACTAGATGTTTAATGGAAGTTTTGTGTGGTTTCACATGCATCATTCCTGTATAATGTTACCTCATTTTGGCAACTTGATAGGGTCATTAGTCTGGATAATAATGTCACTACACAAAACCATCAACTCTGTAGCATGCTGATCTGTGCAGCTATTAGAGGAAGACATGAGTCATGTATCCTGTATCTGTACATACCGAATGTAAATCACACTTCACTAGTGATACTCCTCTGGGGATTTCACTGGGAATTCAGTACATAATACTTTAAAATATTTTTATTTAAACTTATTTTAATCAATTAATGAATTTACATTTATTTCTATTTATCTTTCAGTCTTTATTTCTTTGTTTATTATCTTTACTTTTATTTGTTTATTATTTCCTTATTTTTTGTCTTTATTTTTATTTATTTGTTTACATTTATTTATATTTATTTCTTTGTCTTTTTTATTTATTTTTTCTTATTTCTTTCTTTATTATTTCTTTATTTTTATTTATTTATGATTATTTCTTTGTTTATTTTCTTTATCTTTTTCTGTGTTGTTATTTCTTTATTATTTCTTCATTTTTTGTTTTCTTTTATTTATTTTTTATCTTTATTTCTTGGTTTATTTAGTTTATTTATTTTTCTTTTATATTTAGTTTTTTATTTACTAATTTTTCTTTGTATTTTTTTCGTTGTTATTTATTTATTATTATTTCTTTCTTTTATCTTATTTTTTTCTTTTCTTTTTCTTTATTCCTTTTTTCCTTATTTGTTTATTTTTATTTATATACATTTATATGAATTTCTTTCTTTGTTTATTTTCTTTAATTTTCTTTATTTTTTGTTACATTTATTTCTTTGTTTACATTTATTTCTATTTATTTGTCTTTATTTTTTTGTTTATTTATATTTTATTACTTCTTTCTTTAATATTTATTTTTTGTATTTCTTTCTTCATTTCATTCATTTTCTTTTCAGCTTAGTCCCTTTATTAATCCGGGGTCGCCACAGCAGAATAAACCACCAATTTATCCAGCATATGTTTTACGCAGTGGATGCTCTTCCAGCTGCAACCCATCACTGGGAAGCACCCATACACATTCAATCACACACATACACTATGGCTAATTTAATTAATTTAACTCACATATAGTTGTAAGGGAAACCGGAGCACATGGAGGAATCCTATCTGAACACGGAGAGAACATGCCAACTCCACAAAGAAATGCCAGCTGACCCAGCTTAGGCTCGAACCAGCGACCTTCTTGCTGTGAGGCGATTGTATTACCCACCGTGCTGCCCATTTTTTTCTTTAATATTTTATTTTTATTTCTTTATTTTCTTTTATTTCTTTGTTTATTTTGTTTATTTATTTTTCATTACCTTTTTCTTTAATATTTATTTTATTTATTTACTCATTTTTATTTATTTATAATTTTTTTCTTTGTTATTTATTAATTTTTATTTCTTTGTTTTCTTTATTATTATTTCTGTCTTTTTTCTTAGTTTTCTTCTTTATTGTTCTTTATTCCTTCATCTTTGTTTATTATTTGTTTATTTTTTATTTGTATACATTTACATGTGTATATTTCTTTGTTTATTTTCTTTATTTTTGTTATCTCTTTCTTTATTATTTATTTCTTTATTTCATTTCTTTGTTTATATTTATTTATATTTATTTCTTTGTTTATTTATTTATTTATATTTCATTACTTCTTTGTTTAATATTTCTTTATTTCATTTATTTCTTTATTTATATTTCTTTATTTTTGTTTATTTTTTTGTTTTTCATTTATTTATTTATTTATTATTTCTTTCTTTATTATTATTTCTTAGTTTATTTTCTTTATCTTTTTTTGTATTATTATTTCTTTCTTACTTTGTTTTTATTTCTATATTTCCTTTTATTTCTTTTTATTTTGATTTCCTTGTTTATTTGATTTGATTTTTTTATTCCTTTGTTATTCTTTATTCATTATTTATTTTCTATTTATATATTTATTTCTTCATTTTTTTTCTTCATTTTCATTTAGCTTAATTTCTTCCTTTTTATTTATTTATACATATTTATTTATCTTTACTTCTTTGTTTATTTTCTTCTTTCTTGAATATTTATTTATTTCTTCAACCTCAAAAGCCAATTACTCTGTGCAAACCGAACACACGATCATTATTGAAGTAATATAAGCCTCATGTGGATTTGTTCATTTAGCAAGACTCACGCTGAGCGCTCCTGCAAAACTGATGTAGAGCGAGACGAAATAAGTAAGAAAGGTCTTGACAAAATCTGAACACAACTAGTCACAGGAGACGCATTTGAATGAGCGTAAACACCAGGTGAAAACAGTAATGCGTCTCGGCTGAGCACTTGTGACAGGATTACTGAAAACACATGCTGATACGAGGCAAAACAGCTCCATAAAGTGCTTTATCAAATCTGCTAAACTCATGAAAGCTCAGTGTTAACTCCTCCAGTAAACCCAGACCCAGTGGGTTAATGGGAAAGATCCCCAAACAAATTAATAATGACTCACTCTTTACTCTCCCTTTTCTGCTGAATCTAAAAGCAGTTATTTTGAAGAAATTTGGAAGCCTGGTACCATTAAGAAGACAAATACCATGAAAGTCAATAGTTAAAAGTTGCCAGCTTTCTGCAAAATATCTTCATTTGTGTTCAACAGAAGAAAATTTAAAACAAGTTTGCAACAAGTAAAGGGTGAAAAAAACAATGAAAGGATTTTTCAACCCAGGCTTTCTTGTTCAAATCACATACTATTCGATTTAATCAGTTACAAGATATGAATATGGTGTAAATATATAAAGCCAGATCCAATAGACAAATTACCATGTTTGTAAACATTCAGGATGCGCGCGCAGCGAGGTGGCAGAAAATAACCAGGAGTGCTAGCATTTACTGTGAGGGAATGACATCCGATGTGGTACAGAGTTTGTTGTTGTATTAGTGATAAGTTATATTGATTACATATTATAAATATTATTGACATAATGCTTTCAACGTATTATAACAGCTTGTCACCCAGTGATAAGCACAGCTATTTGGCAAAATTAAAGTTAAAGTGAGCGGCGTTCATCTGACAGCTCCATTTGCAATAGCACCCTTCATATACAATCTCATTGAAGCTCCAAATGTTTTTACAAGAGAGAAGTTAAAGGCCTACAAGTCTTTGGATGTCTACAATGTTGTGTGTGGTCATGTGCAAAAAATAATGTTCCATGATGACCAGATTCAAAACTATGTAGTGCTAAAAAAACGAGGTTCTGCCTAGCCAAAGACAAGAAGACGGAGCTGTACAAGGCCTGGGTAATCATCAACAAGCAAAACAACTGCATTCTCACAGCGAACTGCACCTGTACGGCAGGGAAGGCTATGTGAACTTAAACTTTCCTTCTAAGCATTCACTGTCCGCAGTTTAATTAACCATATGTAAATGTTTTTGCTGAAATCATTGCTGCAATCAAAAACAAGTAACGTGTATGATTCAGCATAGCGTGAACTTACCTGAGAAGAAGCAAGATCTGCAGAGTCCAGCATTTTCAATTAGGTTGTCACTTCATTTAGCTCCCTTTTAGCCAGATATGTGCGGTTGGCATTAAAAGTAGTGTGCTGTACGGTAAAAGTTACGTTTTCTATTTTTGGCTATTGCAACACACTCTTTTTGCAACAGGGAACCTGTTTGACGTCATGTGCGATGTAGGTTGGTAATTTGTCTATTAGTTCAATTCTATTAGATTGGTTTACTTAATATTCGGAGGCAAAATTGACGTGAATCCATATTGCACACAATAGATGAGTTAAATAAGAAGCATGTATTTGTTGATATTATTACATAAATCTTGTATTCATATTTGTGTCATTTATGTTTAACTGATAAATATCAATCGCAGAAATAAAAAAGTTGTTTAGTTAAAAGATGAATTTATGATGATTTGGATTAAAGGGTCAAAAATGTATTAGTATTAGATCTAATTAGTGTACGATGCCCAGCATAATTGAGTACAGACCAAATTGAAAATTTATATTTTTCTCTATTTCTCAGTGAATATAGGCCATATAGGCCATAAAAAGTTTGGTGTATTTAAACAAAAAGATTTATTAAACAGATATATTTATTAAAATAATATTTTAATCACCAAACATATTTAAAAATTGAAAGATAATACAAATAAACTCAAGCTAAAAAAATGACAACCTGCAAAATTTCATCTTTTTTTTTTCCCTCTTGATTTTTCCTCTTTTTAAATTTTGTATTTAATATTTTCTATAACATATAAATTTGGGTGTACTAGTTTTTGGACCTCTATCATGAGTTATTTTTTTATATAAGCTTTAAATTTTGCTTCAGTACTGACTAATCTATATATGCACATTATATTTGTGTATGCACAAATATAATATTGTAAAGCTTCCTATTGAAAATATGAATTTGAAATATAGATTTGTGAGGGCTGTACTTATATATAGTTGAAGTCAGAATTATTAGCCCCCCTGAATCATAAGCCCCTCTGTTTATTTTCCCCCCCAATTTCTGTTTAACGGAGAGATTTTTTCAACACATTTCTAAATATAATAGATTTAATAACTTATTTCTAATAGCTGATTTATTTTATCTGTCATGATGACAGTAAATAATATTTGACTAAATATTTTTCAAGACACTTCTATACAGCTTAAAGTGACATTAGAAACTAGGTTAATTAGGGTAACTAGGCAGGTTAGGGTAATTAGGCAAGTTATTGTAAACGGTGGTTTGTTCTGTAGACAGTCAAAAAAAAATTAGCCTAAAGGGCTAATAATTTTGTCCTTAAAATTGTGTGTAAAAAAACGAATAACTGCTTTTATTCTAGCTGAAATAAAACAAATAAGACTTTCTTCAGAAGTAAAAAATATTATCAGACATGCTGTGAAAATTTCCTTGCTCTGTTATATAATGTTAAATATTTAAAAAAGAGTAAGAAAATCAAAGGATACTAATAATTCTGACTTCAACTGTATGCTGAGCATTGTATTCTAGATAAACAGATCTCCTTTTCTAAATTTCTTTGAAATATTTTGTAGTTTTATCTTCACAAAGGGTATTTAAAACACTAAAGTACAAACTTTACTAGCAATTTTGACAATATAATCACAAACCAGTCATCATCACAAACCAATCAGCAATAAATAGGCTTTCCATTAATGTATGATTTTAGAGAACTGTTAAAATCTGAAATGTGAGGGTTCAAAAAAGGTAATATAGATAAAAACTGCCTTCAAAGTTGTCCGAATTAGTGTCTTTGCTACGCATATTACTAACCGAGAATTACGTTTTTATAGGCTATATTTACAGAAGGTCATTTACAAAACGTCCTCATGGAACTTGATCTTTGCTTAATATAAAGATTTTTGGCATAACAATATATAATTTTGTTTCATACAATGTATTTTTGGGCGGTTCATTCCGCCGTGGCGACCTCAGATTAATAAAGGGACTAAACTGAAAAGAAAATGAATGAATGCATGTAATTCCAGCAAATATACCATGCAACATAAGCCTGAAGAACTATAAATATAATTGCTAGCAGACACTGAAATGTCTCATCTTTAACTCCCTTTAAAAATACCAAGATTATCTTCTCACAGCATATTTGAGATGCTTTCTAAGTCTCTTTGATGGGTAATGTCTGTGAGCTGTGGAAAAAAATGTATCACTCACCGTAGATAATTAAACCAATTAAAAGTAATTATTATAAGTGGATCTAAATAAGAAGATTTGTCAAACCCACTGTAATTGCTTGGGCTTGGCAAAAAAGGGATTGTCACCAAGGTGAGCAGATTTTCCAAGACACCAGACATGAGAGATCTCCAGCTGAGAAGAAATGCTCTCTGGCGCTCTCTTGTGACTAATATTACTGAAATGGGCTACGATTGACCTGTCCATGTTAGCTTTACAAGCCATTCTCCAGGTGTTTGTAGACTGGCACCATTTAAGCTTCACACTGTCTCTTCAAGTATTAATCTAATCTTTTGACATGCAGATGGAACAGTCCTCTACGCGCGCTGGATTTCAGAAGACACTTAGCACCTACTTTGGATAATGGTCGATGCATGAAGTCATTGTTATTCTAAGATTAAGAATTACATGCAAAAGGCATGTTCCCCATCCATCTTCATAATGGGCTGAAATTCTTGTTTGGTGAGAAAGTGTGCCCGGCTGAACGCTGAGGGTGATATGTGGAGGTACAGGAGATAAGGGGCGGATCTGGCTACACCTCACCAGACAGCAGATCTGCGGGATTATAAACCCCACACACGTGCGTTTAAATAGAGAGGGGGCAGATATCTGTGGACTGGAGGACGGACTTCCACCGCGGGAATGTTTAACTGGAGCTCTGAAGCCGGCGTCGTATCCGAAAAGTCTGTCAGAAATTATCCGGAGCGCTTTGACCAAACCTGGAGCTTCAGTCGGATCATGGCAGTGTCATCATCCATGCGCGCGCTCGTCTCCAGAAGACCACTGGATCTTATCTCGGTTTTAAACTCTTTGTGGAGTTTGTGACCTGCTAATCTGGATCTTCAGAAAGTTGTTTCGCCGCTGAGGTGTTTTTGTTTGTTTGTTTGGACCGTTATTATAATGTTGAGGTGATTTTTCCGTCGCGCGAAGCTTCGCTGAAGGTTTCAGGATTATGAGTCCCTCATGACACCGATGTCTCCCTCTTGCTGGATTTTAAAGAAGACCGTTTCTACAGGCTTGGGATACTTTGGTTTTTCATTTTGTTTCTTTACCCCCCGTGCGTCTGGAGCGAATTTAGGATGCTGTGTCTGTCTCCTCCAGTAACCTACAACCTGTTATTCTGGTTTTTAATTCTCCAAACGCCACAATCAACTGCACCTTTAATCACCGGTAAGATCATCCAAACTCTGAAAGATCCTTCATAAGAACATGTAAACAAACTTATTTTGTGTCATCATAATATTAGCCTGTATTACAACTCGAATGAATAGCCTTAGCTTTTGGTGGTCAAGTGAAATTGATGTTTTTAGTCAAGCTTTTTTTTTATTTTTTTAAAAACTCAATTTAGCAAATCATATACTTTTTACACTGAATTTTACTTCAAGTAAAAGTCACTTTTATTTAAACGTGAAAAGGTTTATCTGTGCTGCAAGGAGATATTTTACTGTTTTTCGCAATGTAGCCTTCTGTAAAATACATAAAAATAGATTATTATATTGTAATAATATAATTATAATATAATATTAGATTTTTTTTACTAGGTTTAGTCTTTGAACATAACGCATTACAAATTTCTTTATTAAATATACCAGCAATTTCCTTGTCACACTGTATTTTTTATTGTAAATAAAGATGAATGAAATATTGTTTACAATAACTGTTTCTTTCTATTAGGGTAATTCAGTGTACCACAAGTCATTTCTTTTAGCAATTTAAGAGCGATTTATGATTTAGTGTTACGTTAAAATGAAATATGTAAATATAAATTAGAGTAGGCAATGTAGTTTTACTTTTCTTTTATGCCTAATAAATATTTAATGAGATACATTTGCAAGCAATTTCAGAGAAAATATACAATACTAAAGTTTGAGGTAAGTTTTATTTATTTAATTTTTTAAAGAAATTATTCTGTTCATCAAGGCGGCATTTATTAAATGTGAAATTTGTAAAAAAAAAAAAAAAAAAAAAAAAAAAAATATATATATATATATATATATATATATATATATATATATATATATAAACTGCTTTCTTATCGTATGTAGTTTCAAATTAAATTATTACTCCAGTCATTATTGCTTTTATTACTATTACTATTAACAATAATTATTATTATTTAAATTTTTATTACTATTAATATTAGAGTGATTTCTGAAGGATCATGTGAAGACTGGAGTAATGAAGCTAAAAATTCATCTGTAAAATCACCAGATTAAATGATTAAATTAAATTGTGAACTACTTTTGAACAGTTACATTATAGTGCAACATTTCACAATTTTACAATTTGTACTGTATTATTAATTAAATAAATGAAGCCTTGGTGAGCAGGAGAAGCTTATTTTAAAATATTTAAACTTTTTAAACGGAATTATACAGTTGAAGTCAGAATCATTAGCTCCCCTTTTCTTTTTTTAAATATTTCCCAAATAATGTTTAACAGAGCAAGTACATTTTCAAAGTAGGTCTGATAATATTTTTTTCTTCTAGAGAAGGTCTTATTAGTTGTATTTAGGCTAGAATAAAAGCATTTTTTAATAAAAAAAAAAATAGGGTCAAAATTATTAGTCCCTTTATTCTATTTTTTTTAGCATAAACAAACCTATCCTCCATATCCTCCTTATACAATAATTTGCCTAATTACCCTGACCTACCTAGTTAACCTGATTAACCTAATTAAGCCTTAAAATGTCACTTCAAGCTGTATGGAAGTGTCTTGAAAAATATCTAGTCAAATATTATTTACTTTCGTCATGACAAAGATAAAATAAATCAGTTATTAGAAATGAGTTATTAAAACTATTATGTTAAGAAATATGTTGAAATGTTTTCCTCCTCATTAAACAGAAGTTGGGGAAAAAATAAACAGTGGGGCTAATAATTGAGGGGGTTTCATAATTCTGACTTTAACTGTATGTGTCATGTTTTTTCAGCATAGTTCACATTGTGTAGCTATTAATCATTTTAGTAACAACATTAATTATGTAACTATGTAGTAACTATGTAGCACATTAGTGTGACTACTTGCTAATCACTTAAATACAGAGTAGCATTGTAAAAATAAAGTGACCTACATTCCAGTTTATTTTGTAAACGCTACTGAAACTAAACAAGAACAGTTAGACGCTCCTTATTTGCAGTGGTTTGGTTATTTGCGGGCTTAATTACTGTTTGATGGTTTAAATAAAATGTTTCCAGGAAACAGGTCATGTAGAAGTCAGTGTGATTTTCTTTTTTTTCTCCCTCATTCAGGTACAGAGGCTAGCTGTGAAAACGAGGGAGAAGTGTTACACATCCCCAACATCACAGACAACCCCTGCATCTCCTGCGTCTGTCTGGTGAGAAAACCAAAACCCCTGAGCAGGACGATACATGATATATTTCAAATAGGATTTATAGTGCAGTTTGCAGATCATAAACAGCTGATGATAAATAGTTGGTTTCTGAAACGTCTGTTCACAAAAAAAATTATTCATTGCATTTACTACATTTTTTTAAAGGTAATTGGTTGCAAACTATGGGCTGATTAAATTAAGCGGCAACCTCCCGCTGTCCCTCGTCAAGCAAATACTGAAGTAACTAAAACTGCAATTCATCGAAAGTCCGCTAGTCCGGCTCCATAATAGAGCACATTTCTATCGAGCACACTGTAAAAAATGGCCAACTTTACAGCAGAAAAAAAAGGTGTTTACAGCCTGGTAAAAAGAAACATTTTGGTTCATATAGCTAATTTTTTATTTATTTAATTTTGATTATTTAAATTTTGATTATAAAATTTAATTATAAATTAATTTTAATTATAAAAATTAACGTAAATTTTTTGAATTTTTTTATAACTCATCTATTTTGTTTATATTAAGTTATATAAAGCCTGTATAATTAAGGGCGGGGCCACTTGAGTGACAGCTAGGTCTTGCTGATCACCGTCATTTCACCTCAGCTGATTCCAGCTGATTAGCCGCTGAACTCAGCATATACATCGTATTTTTGTTTCGTTTTATGTGGCTTCACACAGTTAGCTGCCTTTGGGAATTATTTCCTACAACTATTAGATGATATGGCTTGCCATAGTAGGACAAACAAATACTATAGAAGTCAATGGTTACAGGTTTCAACATTCTTCATAAAATCTTATTTGTGTTCAACAGAAGAAAGAAAATCAAACCGTTTTGGAACAAATGTAAAGGATGACAGAATGTTCAGTTTTGGTTGAACTGTCTCTTTAAGAGTAACATCAAAATACTTATTAATTGTCCCTTTAAATCTTTATATTTTGGCAATATCCCTACTGTAGGTTTTGAACTTCATTATGATCACTTAATCACTTGTGGTATTTAATAAACACATCCAAATAGGTATGTTGTTTCATTTTTACATAAATATATGTTATACTAGAATATCTGTTAGACACTTTTTACTTGCATGAAGCAGACACCACAACATCTCATACCATATGTAGCTCATTTTAAGGCAGCTCTATCGCAACAGCAGCAAAATATGGGGTCAAATATGCTAGAAGTAATCAGTGTCGTTCAGTGATCTGTACTACTCACTAATGGCTTTGTAATTTAAAGGGTTAATTCACTCAGAAATGAAAATGTATGATTAATATACTCGCGTGTAAAACATATGGCAGAATAGTTGGCGGTTCATTCCGCTGTGGTGATTCCTGATAGATCAGGGACTAAGCTGAATGAAAACAAATAATATACTCACCCTCAGACCATTAAAGATGTACAGTAGGTGACTTTTCTTTTTCTTCAGACGAACTTTAAATAAGACTTTTAGCTGAATCTGCGGTCCTTGGTGATTTGTATAAGGCAAGTCAATAGTGACCCATTTTTTAGGTTAAAAATAAACACATAAAGACAGGTCCAAATCAATCCTCATGGCTCCTGATGATAAACTGAAGTCCTATTAAGTAAAACAAGTAAAAGTTAAAGTCTGTGCAAGAAATTGAACATTATTCACAATATTATCAGCTTTAAAGTGTTTGCACAAGTGTGACAAGATAGTGAGAGTTGCGATTTTTGCCAAAATGGTTCTTATTTGTAAATTCTCGAGATGCAAAACTACTATAAAAACACTCACAGGCATGTGCTGGCATATACCTCATCAAGCAACTGGTGAGCGCATGGAGAACTCTTTACGCAGTTTATAGATTAAATTTAATAATAATGTCAATAAAGTTCAATTTATATTTGACGCCCTAGGCCATGGCTATTGATTTTGAGTTGTTTTTGTGTGTTTATTTTTAATCTAAAAAAGTGTAAAAGTGTAAAAAAAAAGTAGGGGGGGATAGGATCATTTTAAAGTTAATTTACCATTTTTTAACCACTTAAACTCTGACCTCATCGACTTTTGCTTTCAGATTTAAAGGGCTAGCGTTGCACCAGACCCCCGTAAGTGGTGTCGTTTGAAGGTGTAGAATCTATATTTTATGCACATATGTATCACTTTGGTTTTTATTCTACTGTATAAAAGTTATTTACACTTAAATACACAGTATTTTGGATACCCAAGCTAGGTATTTTACATTGGTTCATTTTCATATTTTTCTATATGACACATGTACAGTTCTAGCTCAAATGAAAGCTCTTGCCGGTGCTCATACAGTTCTAGCTTTCTTTTTACTGAATTATATTCATATGCCAAACAGCTGTTGAATGAATTGTGGTGTTTCCATGGCGCAGAAATGTAAACAGTACATTCATGATCAATAAGCAGCCCCAGATAGCACAGAGAGCTGTCATGTCTTACCTTATGTTTTTGAGGTGATGTGCATAACTAATCCTTTTATATGTCTGACGTGGTCCAAACAGTGAATTATGTTCGATCGAACAAAAGAATAGTGAAATATGTAAACAAGGATCGGTCCCTGTGGCTTGCACAGCACCTCTCATCAGTTGGAATAAAATAACTTTTGCATAGATTATGGTGGAGACATTTTTCTTTTTTTCTATGATTATAGACATGTGCAGGAACCACCTAAATTAATTACAGCATGCTAGACCACACAGAACCTAAAAGGTACACATTCAAATTTGAGTTTATAAAAAAAATACAAAAAGCGCCTCATTTTTTTAGGTGTTTATTATACCACAGATGACATATACAGTTATTTTAAACACTTTCAATAGTGTTTATGAAAATTCAAAGGGTTTTCTTTAAAATGATACTAAATTTTTGCATTTACACCTCTGCATGTGGATTTGGGAAGCTTTTAAATTTGGGTTGGCGGAAAATCCAGGCGGAAATCCCTAAATAGCAGCAGAGTTTAAGTGGTTAATTCATTCAGCCAATCTTCAGGTCTGGAGGAAGTACTGTTGGTTTAGCTTAGCATTAATCATTGAATCAGATTAGACTGTTAGCATCTTGCTCAAAAAGAAAAGAGTTTTGATTATTTTCATATTTAAAGCTTGCCTCTCCTGTTGTTACATTGTGTACTAAGACAGACAGAAAAGGTCAATATGGCTAGGAGTCATACTTTAATTCAGACGTATTTTAGAGCAGTGTTTCTCAACCACGTTCCTGGAGGCTCACCAGTTCTTCACATATTCCCTGTCTCCTCAACCAAACACACCTGATTCCAATCATCAGCTCATTAGCAGAAACTATAAGACCTGAAATGAGTGTGACAGACAAAGGAGACATCCAAAACGCAGTGTTGGTGGTCCTTCAGAAACGTGGTTGAGAAACACTGTTTTAGAGTATAGTTCCTAGGCTAATCAGCTTTGAAAATAGCAACTTTTTATTTTCCGTCAGTCTTAGTATATGATGTAACTACAGTAAAGTAAAGGTTTAAATGCAAATTTGTTGAGAGAGATGCTAATGGTCTAATCTGATTTAATGATTTATGCTAAGCTAAGCTAAAAGTGCTCGTGACAGACCCTGAGATTGACTAAATGGATTAAAAAACAACAACTATTTATCTCTAGGTTACTAGAACGGCAAAATTACAACACTTTATTTACAAAAAAAGTGTCGTATTGCATCAATATTCCTGTTTCAATTGCAAAATTACACCCTGATGACAACTACATGCTTACACATCACTAATACACACAACACCAGTCGGTACCTATATTACTCTTCTTGTTTTGTTGGTGTGTCTTACACAAGGTTAGTGTGTGAGAGCTGATACGATGGGTTGATGAATGTCTCCTATTGATTTTTGCAGCATGCGAGTTGATGAATAGAGATCAATACAGGAAGTTTTATCTCTGAAAGACGATGCTGCTCTTTATGTTCGTACATTTGTCTGCAGTTGATGGGAATGTCATGAACCGGACATGATTGAATTAAGCTGATCAAGAGAATCAGATCCTGTCTCATCCTAAATTTCTTAGCTTATCTTTGTCACTTTGTCAACAAGTGCGATTATTACACCTACTGCTGAATGATAAGGGATCGTCCTTTAATTATTGGTATTTTTTGGATCAACAGAATCAGAAAGCGGAGTGTAAGCAGGAGAAGTGTGCACCGCTGGCAGAGGACTGTGCGCTGGTGGTCAAACAGACGGGAGCCTGCTGTGAAAAATGCAAAGGTCAGCTGAAATCATGTTATCTGATTATTGGTCATGATATATGTGGGCTAGCATACTTGAGTTCGTATGTGTAGCTCACGGTTTTATCATCACTGCCACCTTGTGGTTGAGAGTCGCGGTGAGGGCTTTTTGCTGGACATGCTACAAGACAAATTGGTTTACTCTGAACACCTGACATTCTTTATTAAAATATAAAAGTCTGTGTATTTATGTGGAAACATTAGTAACTAAAAACTACATATAATACACACAATGGCATGCAATAAGAGTGATTCATTGCATTTGCTACAATTTTTAAGGAAGTTGTTGCTATTATATGGGCTGAGTTTAAACAAATTAAATTGAGTTGTGTTCAAATTAATTTATATGTTTAAATACCTTTAAATAATTTAATAAATCCACTGTATATTTTTTTCAGTGTACTGTTTCACTTTTATTTAAGGTTTACAGTTCAAATCCAATTAGGACCTTTTGTTTGGTAAATAAAGTAAACCTCTCATATGATGTATCTACTAAAGGAGAGGAGATATTACTTTACAAACTGTATTATGCATAAATTATCTAAACATTTGCATATTTTTCAATATTACTGTACATTAATACAAAAGCTGGATGACTTTTACACAAAAGTTACACAAAATAAGTTGTTTTAAAAAGTTTTTAATATGGATATTTTTCTTACAAAGGCGTAACGATTTACTATATGTAACGGAGGCCAGCTAGTGTGTACTGTGCAGGTAAACCTCACTCCTCTGACCTCTAAAGGTGCTCTAGCGACAGTCGCTATAGGTCATGGTCTTTAGTCTCCTTGGTAGAGCACCCGACTCCCATGCGGAAGGTCGCCGGTTGGATTCCAAATCGGAGCGGGTTGGGCGGCGTAGGACCGGCAGGGTTACATATAGAAGACCTTTATTCAGTCTTTGGAGCTGCACGAGGCTCTTTTTTATTATGGATAGATGCATTTTATTGGAGGTCTTGTGGACTGCTGATAAAAATCAGCCAACCGTTAACATAAGCTGCGTCTCAAATGAGACACTATACACTATACAGTCAGGCACTTACACACTCAACAGCATAGTATATGTATGTAGTGTCATCCCGAATGGATGTTTTTTTTTTTACTGAGCAGAATTTCAAACCGTTTCCTTGATGATGTTTGTCGGTTGCCAAGTTAGTGAAAAAAATGACCAAATTACCAAATAATACCTGCCATGAGTATAACCGCATTCACCATCGGGAGGCGCTATAATCACTCTCATAGGAGAATGTTGTTTTAACCATTCAAAATAAATAAGTAATCCAACATGTGTGCCCGATAGCTCTGGCCCTTCCGCTACATGAGCAAACCTGCGGCCAATGAGTGCGTGAAGTGTCCATCATTCCACACTTCATTTTACCGGTTGAATGAGTGCATCATCCGGGTAATGAAAGTGCACTTACTATTTTTAGAGTTTTCAATGTGAACGCACTACATACACTATTTATTCTACAAAATGGGGTAGAATAGTGCATAAGTATGCGATTTGGGACGCAGCTACTGTCTGATTGAACTTGACTGAAAGAAGAAAGTCATGTACACCTATGCCTTGAGGGTGAGTAAATTTTAGGATGAATTAACCCTATGAGGCAGGGGTGCCCAAACTCGGTCCTGGAGGGCCGGTGTCCTGCAGATTTTAGATTAGACACACCTGAACCAGCTAATTACGGTTTTACTAGGTATACTACAAAGCTCCTTGCAGGTGTGTTGAGGCAAGTTGAAGCTAACTGGAGCAGGACATTGGCCCTTCTGGACCAAGTTTTGGCATCCTTGCTATAAGGTTAGGGTTGTTTAAACCCGTGTGTCAATACAAACAGGCTTCCCAGTCATAAAAACGACTCTAGAGGTCATTAATTTCCATATATTCAATTTATGTCCAAAGGAATCTTGTATTTACATCATAAATTGTAGTTTTTGTCAGTGTATACCTGGCTTGAAATGTGAATCATCTGATCTGAGCGTTTGCTCTTTGTCACTCTTGGCAGGTTGTCTTCTGAAAGGGACGTCCTACAACAGTTCCCATCACTGGATAAGCCCTGTGAAACCCTGTGTCACGTACAGCTGTCAGGTGCGTCAATCGCAATCGAAAGGAACAGTTCTTTCAAAATTGAACATTTCCTCACCATTTACTTACATTCCAAACGTTTATGAACAGAGCTCTAGAGTGCGACTAATTTGGTCGCATGTGCAACCTAACTTCCTTAATAGAGGGCTTACTAAATAAATTAGCAACTGGTTCATTGGAACAGAGCAATCAGTGAAAGTGAAAAGCGTTTTGTTAAATGCGATGCAGTCGAAAAAGTTGGGTGCACGTAACTTTTTGTGCTGGTAAGCATCTAAGAAAAAAAGTTAGGCACACCAGTGCAAAAAGTTACACTGCAAAAAATGCTTTTCTTACTTAGATTTTTTGTCTTGTATCTAGTGCAAATATCTAAAAGTTCTTAAATCAAGAAGCATTTTCTTGACAAGCAAATCCTATTGTCTTGTTTTAAGAAATAATATGCCAAAATGTAGTGAGTTTTGGGCGAAGCAGTGGCGCAGTAGGTAGTGCTGTCGCCTCACAACAAGAAGGTCGCTGGGTTGCTGGTTTGAACCTCGGCTCAGTTGGCGTTTCTGTGTGGAGTTTGCATGTTCTCCCTGCGTTCGCGTGGGTTTCCTCCGGTTTCCCCCACAGTCCAAAGACATGCAGTACAGGTGAATTGGGTAGGCTAAATTGTCCGTAGTGTATGAGTGTAAGTGTGATTGTGTGTAAATGTTTCCCAGAGATGGGTTGTTGTTGGAAGATCATCCGCTGGGTAAGTTGGCGGTTCATTCCGCTGTGGCGACCCGGGATTAATAAAGGGACTAAGCTGACAAGAAATAAAGTAATTTTTGCCTTAAAACAAGCAAAATAATCTGCCAATGGGGTAAGCAAAATAATCTTATCACAAATCGAAAAACAAGATTATCTTGCTTACCTCATTGGCAGATTATTTAGCTTGATTTGAGGGAAAACTCACTTCATTTTGGCATATTATTTCTTAAAACAAGACATTATGTTTTGCTTGTCTAGAAAATGCTTCTTGATTTAAGAATTTGTAGATATTTGGACTAGAAACAAGACAAAAAAGCTAAGAAAATAATTTTTTTGCAGTGTACTCTAGAACCCTGATAAATGACTTTGTTTCATTGAGCACAAAACAAGACACACTGAAAAAGTTGTGAAAATGCAATCAATGATATCCATTGTAGGACCAAAGGTTTAGATCAAGGGAGGAATGAATAATGAAGACAGAACTTGTATTTTTGGGCGAACAGCTGCAGACTGTGGTCTAGTACTAGAATAAACACAATGAGTAAACAGGACGGGACAATTGAATGAGTAATGTTGTATGGCGACTGCTTCAATCAGCTCCTGATTTAAATGAGAATGTCTGCCGAACGAGAAAACAAATCTGTAGATGAGAAAACTAGAAAAAATGTGTAGACGAACCTGCAATACACTGTGAAAAATATGATATCATCAATAAGTCATGTAAGCATATGTTTCTATGTTAAACATGCATTTTTTCTCTATGAGATTTCACTATATATTTTAAGTCAATTTACACTTTCAGAAATAAAGGTACAGAAGCTGTCACTGGGACGGTACCCTTTAGTTCAGATACAACTGAAAATTGTCATCATTTACTCTCATTCAGTTGTCACAAACCTGTTTGACTTTCTTTCTTCAGACCTTTTTTGACGTTCTTTCTTATGAAATATCTTCTTTAAAAGGAGATATTTAGAAAAACTCTGAAAACCTGTAACCATTGACTTCCATAAAATAAAAATTTCTTACTGTGGAAGTCAATGGTTACCAGTTTCTAGCATTTTTAAAATATCTTCTTTTGTTTTTTAACAGCAGAAAGAAACTGATAAAAGTTGAACTGAATTGAACTTTTATTTGACAGATTTTTAGACAAGCTGTTCAAAAATACAAGTATCCCATACCATTTTCAATAAAAACTGTTGAGGATAAAAATACAATAAAGCCCTGGGCTTGTTTCCATTGTGGTCCTCGCTGTTAAATAAAACAAAGTATGGCTTCCAAAGTATGGCTTGATGCATAAAACAAGCAGTACCTCCACATTTTAAAACGGGAACAAAATTATTCACAAATACATTCATTCATTCATTCATTTTCTTTTCGGCTTAGTCCCTCTATTAATCAGTGGTTGCCACAGCAGAATGAACTACCAACTTATCCAGCTTATGTTTTGCACAGTGGATGCCCTTTCAGCTGTAACCCTATTCACAATCTAATTAATTAATAAATTCATTCATTCTCTTGTCGGCTTAGTCCCTTTATTAATCCAGGGTCGCCACAGCGGAATGAACCGCCAACTTATCCAGCAAGTTTTTACGCAGCGGATGCCCTTCCAGCTGCAACCCATCTCTGGGAAACATCCACACACACATTCACACACTACGGACAATTTAGCCTACCCAATTCACCTGTACCACATGTCTTTGGATTGTGGGGGAAACCAGAGCACCCGGAGGAAACTCACACGAAGGCAGAGAGAACAGCTCGAACCAGCGACCCAGCGACCTTCTTGCTGTGAGGCGACAGCACTACCTACTGCCACTGCCTCGCCATTCACAATCTAATAACATATAAAATAAAACATCATCATTCACCATGCAAACTAATCATCCTAATCAAACAACTATCTTTGTAACTTTTTTCATAGATGCTTATCAACACAAAAACTTAGGTGCATCCAAGTTTGAGATCAATCGAAGGAGAATACATATTGAGTCAATCTTCATTTTTGGGTGAACTATCCCTTTAAAGGGTACATGTTGGGACCTAAAGGATCCAAATTGTACCTTAAAGTAATTTAACAATTCCTAAAATTACAAAAATTGACTTTTAGAAAGGATATCGCCTCAGTGACAGTATTTCTACCTTATTTCTGATAGACTGATGTACTGTAATTGAAATAATGTTAATTTGCTAAACCGTTTTAACTACGTTTACTGTGGTGTAAGTCGCTATAGCATGGAACCAGCAATGATTATAAATGTGAAAGTAAACATTAAAGTCGTTGTTAAAGTCAACGTTTTGTTTTTGTCCTGTACAGGAAGGTGTCATCACTGAAGCAGAGATGAGGTGTGTCATTCACTGTAAGAACCCTAAAATCCACCCCAAGAAATGCTGCCCTACATGTCCAGGTCAGTCAATGTTTTCATCAGTGCTGTTTTCAGTTTTGCGGTAAAAAAGAGAGAGAAAAGTGGTAGGCCCCGTTTACACTGATGCACGTTAGTTTTAAAAAGATCCACGTCCACACTGGCGTTTCACCTAGCATTTCTAAAAAGATCTCCGTCTACACTACATCTCTGAAAATGCACATCACGTGACCACACACACTATCTGGCATGTGCTGCAGTATATGTGGATGTCTGAGCTCCAGGCAGTCAGTGGGTGCTTTGAGCACATCTCCCTAGGTGAGAGCAGCGCAGGTCGGACTGTTCATCAAGGATCTACCGCTGGATTTCATCTCACTATAGTTGTTAAACATAATATTTAATTCATCTTGTCTCTATCTAGTGACTCTTTTGAATCACTTGTTCTCAGGTTATTTGTTTTGGCTGAATGCCAAGATAAGTAATATATTAATTCATGTAACCACGTACACTGATTCTGCACATTTGACTGATTGCTTGCCTTTATTTCCTTTAATGTATAAACTTATTGTACGTTATACTTTTATAAGGGCCAGTATTGATTATTGAAACTCATATTCAGCAATACAGACAGGGTATGTTTCATATTTTTCAATGAAAATGAAAGGAGGCAGTTATGTTATAGCCTCCATTTTGTTATATGCATACAGTGAAGATGACTCAACATTTTTGGTGTCTGTTAAGTTGTTAAAGTCAAAATAAAAATAGGAAGTTCCTTCTATTGTTCATTTTATTGCTAAGAAAGTGAAACAACGTTGACAAGGGTGATGCATATGAGGTTATAAAGTACACTTTTCCTTTAAAAGATTTACCTGACGTGTCCTCGGGAGTTTGTTTTTCATATCAAACTTGCAAAGTCTAAACTTAAGGAAAGGGTGTGCATTTAATATTTAGGGAAAACCCCAATCAGGGATGAGACAGTGGCACAGTAGCTAGTGCTGTTGCCTCACATCAAGAAGGTCGCTGGTTCGAACCTTGGCTCAGTTGGCGTTTCTGTGTGGAGTTTGCATGTTCTCCCTGCCTTCGTGTGGGTTTCCTCCGGGTGCTCCGGTTTCCCCCACAGTCCAAAGACATGCAGTACAGGTGAATTGGGTAGGCTAAATTGTCCATAGTGTGTGTGGATGTTTCCCAAAGATGGATTGTGGCTGGAAGGGCATCCGCTGCGTAAAAACTTGCTGGATAAGTTGGCGGTTCATTACGCTGTGGCGACCCCGGATTAATAAAGGGACTGAGCCGACAAGAAAATGAACAAATGAATGAACCCCAATCAGATAGGCGAATGTCTGCTGCCATGCCTTCATTTTCAGATGTCTCCGTTTTCCTCATCCACACTGACAAGGAGCAGCAGCATTTTAAAACGAATATGGCCTCTTCAGCGTTTTCAAAACGCTCCGTTTTCGGGACTCGAAAACTCTGAGGTAGTGTGGATGAAAGGCGTAACCGTAGCAAAACTTATACTTTTTAAAACTTAAACGCATTAGAGTAAATAGGGCCTTGATCTACATGACAATATAAAATTTCCTTGCGTTTTGAAAAATGTGTTTACATGACAACCTCCATAAACACATACCGTGCATAACATCGTTTTTGTAGAGTCTCTGTCATGTTTGGTGAGGGGAAATGGGGGGGAAAGGAGCGATGACTCAAATGCAGAGAAATGGGATTTATTAAATAATAAAAATAAAATGCAAAACAGCAAAACGAACTACCCCGAGGGGGAAAATATTAATAAAACCAATAAACAAACAAACTAGACAGTGCAGGCTGGCGATCTGGAGAACAAGGCAAGACAAGACAGGGAACGACGACATCTGATGACGAGTGATGACGAACTGGCAAAGGACAGCAGACATGAGGGGATTATAAAGAGTAGAAATGACAGAAACAGGACGAGACAGAGCTAGTGTCAGAGCTCTGCCACCAAAACAAGAACACCAAACCAAAGACCAGAGTGGCAGAACCCTGACACTCTCTTTCTATTTATGCATTTAAGTCCCCAAAACACTGTTGTCATGTAGACAAGGCAAAACGCAAAAGAAAGGTTCCTGTTTTTGGCTAAAAGCATTGGTAAAAGGCCCCTAAATATCAGAATTGCTTGAACACAAAAAATAGACAGTGATAGGAATAACAGCGCTATAAATAAACTGCGTTACTGACAGCGATACTTTTTTCAGTAACAAATAATCAAATGAATTATATGAGTTACAACGCCGTTACTGACAATTAAATTCACATTACTATAATTATTAAGAACACTGAAGTGGTTTTCATGCGAGCAGCGTCTCTCTCAGCAAGCCATAGAACCTCTCTTTCTCTAATCTAATGAAGCACCTCACGTCGTCACATGCCACCACAAAATGAGTGGCTACACAGGTGATAACTTGAGGTCTGCTAGCAAAGCAGGAGGCGAAGCCACAACGTCAAAGCAAATAAAACGTAATTCTATTACTCTACCGCAAACACTTATTACTCAGACAGAATTAAACTAAATAATAATATCTACAAGTTCTAAACCATCTATTGTGTTTTATTTTGCAACTATAGTAATGATAATATAATGATATGTTCAATTTGATGGTTATCTCTTACATTGTCCCACAACACCATTAAAATAGTGTAGATTAGTGTTCAATGTTTTGTATTTTTTTATAGTCATTCGATTGTTTTTAAAGTAATGTAATAGTTACTTTCTCTGGTAATTAGTTACTTTTATCCCGAGATAATTCAGTTACTATTTGTAAGAAGTAACTAGTAACTATAACTAATTACCCTTTTAAAGGAACGTGGCCAACACTGAAAATAGCGTTTGATATGTTGATATGAACATTTTTAACAATTTCACTTAACTAAACTGCTCACATAGTTCAGTTATTTATGTCTGCAATTGAGATGAATGTCTCTGCTGATCTGTCAGATTCTCATCATAGTGATTGTTCATGTTTTGGATGTTCACAGGGTGCATTTTTGAGGGGAATTTATATAAAGAAGATGAAGAATTTCACCCTGAAGGGAATCCCTGTATTAAATGCGTCTGCACTGTGAGTATATATGCTAATAGCTATGCTAATTTAAGAAAAACGTGCCTTTTGTTACTTTCTACTTGATGAAGAAACAGATTTTGTTAGAAATGAATTAAAGTGGTTTGTGTTTTGAAGATGGCTCAGTGGTTAGCACTGTCGCCTCACAGCAAGAAAGTCACTGGTTTGAGTCCTGGCTGGTCCAGTTGACATTTTTGTGTGGAGTTTGCATGTTCTTCTTGTGTCGGCGTGGGTTTCCTTCGGGTGCTCGAGACATGAAACTCAGACATGTGTTATAGGTAAATTGAGTTAATAGGTAAATTGGCCATAGTGTATAAGGCCGTACTCACACTAGGTACAGTTGCCTCGAACCGGGCCAAAGCACGCTTGTCCCCCCTCCCGTCTCCCCCGACGGCCCGCGCTCACACCATATCGGGCCTCGGCACGCTTACGTCATCGCTGCTGCGCTGTTCAGAAGCGCTCTCTATGGCAAGCCTTTTTAGCATTTAAATCTTTGTTCTGACTCCATAAATATATTTCGAGATATCTCTAATTATATTTTGACTAGTCATAATTATAATTCGACTAGTCAGAATAACAATTAGAGATATCTGCAATTACAATTGTACTAGTACGAAATCAGATTGTAGATATCTGCAAATATATTATAACTGACTAGTCATATTCCTACATTGACTTCCATTGAAAAATATTTGCAGATATCTCTAAATGAGTTTTGACTAGTCACAATTGTAATTAGAGATATCTCTGAGTTTTTACTAGTCATAATACATTTGGAGATGTCTTTAATTCATCATATTTAGAGATATTTACAAATATATTTGAAGATATCTCTAATTAATTTACTAATAGTCGAATTACAGTTGTAGATATCTTGAATTGGATTTTTGACGAGTAATTATATCTCTAAATATATTTATGGATAGTCAGAACAAGGTTTAAATGTTAAAACGGCTTGCCATACGCTCTCATTCAGCAGCACAGTGGAGATTTCTCTAGTTATATCGTTTCAGTCGTTTATTATGCAGTGACATGCAGTCAAATATTTCGCCAAACAGTCCTAAGGGATGCGGGGACACGCAGTCAGATATTTTACCGAACAGATTCGCCACTTTCGGCGCTCATAAACAATCATAAAGCTCTCGTGCTGCAGGAATGAGGAGGTCTGCTGAAGGCGCGCAGCTGGCGTGCTGTGAGGAGTTTGCGTCTTTAATAAACTACGGCAGTTTGCGTTCACTGAACAGTAAGAATGATTAATAAATCCATATGAAACAGCCTCTTAAAAGTCACGTCTCGCTTTCGGTTTCGGGCTTTGGCGCGTTTCGCGCTCACACACAAGCGTACCGCGCCAAAGCCCAAGTGTACCGTGCTCAGGCACACCTCTTCCAACCGGGCCAGGGCCGGCCAAGTGAACCGTGCTTGAGCGCGATTCAGCGCACTCACACTTCTCAAACAATCCGGGAAACGGGCCTGGGCACGGTACGGATGGCATAGTGTGAGTAGGCCCTAAGTGTGTGTGCATGAATGTGAGTGTATGGGTGTTTCCCAGTACTAGGTTGCAGCTGGAAGGGCATCCTCTGCTTAAAACATATGTTGGAATGGTTGTCAGTTCAATCCGCTGTGGCTACCCCTGATTAATAAGGGACTAAGCTGAAAGAAAATGAATGAATGACTGACTAAAGGCACAATAATTTAATAGGGCTTTTACAGCAGTAGCCATATATATCACATTTTGTGATTGAGCAATATCACGAGTAACACTTGCATATGGCTATATATCAGCACTGCTGTGATTCAGTCGAATGTTGACCAGCCTGGTTTAAGCTGGATATAGCTGGTTTTGGCTGGACTCCCAGCTTGGCTAGGCTGGTCAAGCTGGTTTTAGCTGGTCATCTCCCAGCCTGACCAGCTAAGACCAGGCTGGAAATGGCTGGAAACCAGCCTGGAAGTGGCCAAAACCCCTCTAAAACCAGCCTGGTCGACCAGCTAAAACCAGCCAACCATCCTAGGCTGGTTTAAGCTGGATTTTTCAGCAGGGTTGCCTCTAACCTGAACAGCCAGACTTGAGTCTCAGCCTCATGAATCAGCAAAATTCCCAAGTACATAGTAAAATGCAGATGTTTAGGAAAGTGGCGTACAGTTTGGTGTCATACAGTGGTTTAGAGAAGAATAAAGTCTTTTTTTTTACCCCAGTGACAGTGTATATATGTTTAGCCTAGTTGTACCCTGCTTTATTCTTGTCATTTAGAATATAAATAATAGGTTTTAGTCCTCTATATCAGACATCAAGGTAGAATCTGTATTTCAATGAAGTAACACACAGGACTCATTTTTGACATGCTTTGTATAGTAATGTGTATGTGTGTGTGTTTTCCAGGGAGGGCAAAGCATGTGTCATAAATTGGTGTGTCCTGTTCTGTCCTGCCCGTCTCATCTTACCCACACTCCACCTGGCCAGTGCTGTCCAAGATGTCGGGGTGAGTTATTTCCTTACAGATGTTCTCAATGACACACTTTTAGAACCTTTATACATGGTATCTTAAAGGGATAGTTCAACCTCATGTTGTTCCAAACACGTGAGAGCTTCGCTCATCTTCCAACAGCAAATAAAGATATTATGGATGAAATTGGACAGCTTTCTATTCCAGCAAGAGTCTATGGAGCGTCTCTCAATATTAAATCTATGGAGAGTTTATTAAAAGCCCAGAAATGTCAATCAATGCAGTGGTTTTACCACAGTTTTATGAAGTTATGAAAATACTTTTGTGAGTACAAAAAAAAAACATAATTAAAGCTGCAAGCAGCGATGAAAGGGACCTCGCACCTAGACTCACCACTGCTCGGTCTTTGGATGACACAGAACAGTGGACAATATTAATTCTTGTGAAAAAGCGCTATATATAAATAAAACAAACTAATCTAACCTGATGAATATAAAAACCTGACAAATTCACAGATTTATATTAAACTTTTTACTCGATATTGGCATGTAGATGTCTTCAGGAGAAGAATCTCATTGAATATGAATTTTCAGACAAGTCAGGCATTGTGTGGCTGAGTTATAAGTACTTCTTCCACTATTGCAAAACACTGAAGTTTATCAGTCCACCACGGACACGGCCTTCATCGAAAACTCTAGATCTTCACAATTTTACATCACAGGTGTTTGGATTACACTGACAAAACTTAGATTCAATCAGATGAAATTTCTAGGAGTTTGTTACAGTGTAAAACATGTAATTTCCTGCTGCCAGTAGGTGGCGCTATGACTAACGAAATATTGGCATGTAAACATGTTCAGGTCAGGACTCTTATCAAACGTGTCGATTTTCAGGTAGATCAGATAGTAGACTGATTCCACGCGGACGCTATTTTTAAAGCGAAAGTGAGGCTGCTGTGGGAAGAAGCCTAGAAGTATTGCCTGGAGTCACACGACGGCACTTCGATGACGAATTGTTGTGTACCTGGTTGTATGGTATATCTTATCAGCAAAGTGAAAGTGACACTTTCAGCTAAGTTAAAGGGCACCTATGGTAAAAAATCTACTTTTCAAGCTGTTTGGACAGATCTGTGTGTTGGTATAGTGTATAGACCGTCATACTGGGGTGATATGAACACACCCAGTCCTTTTTTTTCAATTTAACTACAAAAAAAAAGGGTCGGCCAATTGGAGCTGTTTTCAAATCGATCGCACCATTACGTAGGTGTGCGATCCCCCCGCCCACCGAATTGATTGACAGCTGCGCGCATCAACATGTCCCGGTAGTTGCGTGTATATGTCAACAAGACCAGACAGACATACGCAAAGCAACCGGGAATAAAAGGTCTGTTCTGTTCGCTAGGATCAGCAATCATCATCAAATGTGATTAAGAGTAAGTTTCACATGTTTAAAGTGTTTTAAAACAGAATATGTGTGTAATTAATTACAGCGTTTTACTTCAGCTTTACTTCATCAGCACAGCCGCGTGTCAGAACAATTATAATAGAAGAAGCTTCAATCCAGGTTTGTGGAAGTTAAATCAGGTTTATTTTGCACATTAGCATAACAGATATCCACACTTGAGGTTAGCCTTAACTAGGCTAAGCGCGCTCTGTCTGTCTGCCTGCCTGCGTGTGTGTGTCATCTGCGGTGTGTGTGTGTGTTTGTGTGTGTGCGCGCGCGTTAACTTTGTAACGATATTGTGTGTGACTCATCAATGCAACTTCACAATACTGATTAGTAAAGGTTAGTTCTTACTGTAGTATCTCACAAACGCTACGTGAGACCTTCTTCCTTTAAGTCTGTCTGTTGTCTGACGCAGCTGAGGGAGGAGGCATGTAGAAACAGTGGGCGGGAAAGAAAAAGCTTAAAGGCGCAGTACGACAAAACCACCCCCTGCTGGAAATCAGTATAAGACAGCATCTTGTAAAAGGTATAATGAAATATCTGATGGGTATTTTGATCTGAAACTTTATATACACATTCTAGAGACGCAAAAGACTTATATTAAATCTGAAAAAAGGGGTAACCTAGGTGCCCTTTAAGGGAAATGGTGCTAGTTAGCTACGTTTTTTTTTACCAAACACACATTTTAGATGCCATTTATCAAGGTGAAGTTAATTAACTGATTCTTTCACTATATTAGACAATACTGAATTTAGGTAGTGACATACAAAAAAAAAAATTTCTCGCTAACATTTAAGCACTGTTGCGTGTTCTTAAACACTGCTTATTTGCCATAGTATTCACCAGTGCTTAACAGAAATAACTGCGATTGGATGTAAAGGTCATCAGTTTACCGCACTTCACAGATGTTTACCGAGTGCAAACACAGACGAGCGATCCGCTAATGAATTGATTTATGCTCCAATGTCTCTGTATCTGCGTTTGCACTCAGTAAAGAGCGGTGACCTGATGACCTTCACGACCAATTACAGTCATTTTTGTAAAGCACTAGTGAATACTATGGCATATCAGCAGTGTTTATGAATGATAGCAGGAAATAGACGTTTTTAAAATTTCAGTACCATGACAACACTATTACAGACAAAAACTAGAGTGTGTTACAGAAGACTGCATTGTTTTATTGCTCACCAGGTTACATAGGCTGAAGCAGGGAAACGTCCCCACAATGTTTACCTTGTGCCATAAACTGAAGTCTAGGAGGACATCTTACTTTTAAATAGATTATGATTTAGATTTTATACCTAATATGCTTTTAATTGATTGAATTAAACTTAACTGAATGATATTAAAGTGATGTTTACACCACATCAGTCTTTTGAAATCGCAGCAACAGCGTGTTGTTGCAATGTTTACAGTGCTGATCCTCCAATTCCCACAGGAGTTTCACTTTAGTTTGTTACAATGGCGGCTGCGTGAAATAACTGTATACATGCCTGAGTTGTAACAGCTTCCTGTTTTTGCTCCCTTCGCAAAAAATGCTTCGCAAATCTTCGCATTTTAACATCGCCTAGGCCTTTAGATGACAATACACAATATTAGTGTTGAAATCCCTAGGAAGAGTTCCTTAAAATACTGCGCCTGGAATTTGCAAAAACTGCACTTTTTCGGAAGAGGACGACTTCCTGTTGGGTTTGAAATTTCGCTCCAAGAGACTTTTTTGTAGGTATTGGCATGTTTGATGTGTGTGCCAATTTTGGTATGTGTGCATGAAGCGTAGCTCAGGGGCTACTCCGTCAAAAGTGCATAGGTGGTGCTGTCGAGCTATTCTGCAACACTCACTTTCGAAACATGTAACAAATGTAAATTTTCCCCACTTAAGGGATGTGTACAAAGTTTTGTGAGTTTTTGAGCATGTTTAGACCCTCAAAAATATGATTCATTCTAGAGTAGAAGAAGAATCGGTCCCACTTTATATTAAGTGGCCTTAACTAATATGTATTTACACAGGTTTGTTACAATGTACTTATTGTGTAAATACATGTATTTACTGTGTACTTAAGCTTGATTAAATACATGTATGTAACTACATCTGTAATTAACTTCTGTAATTACATTTGTAAATACACTGTTGACCATCCCTTACACCTTAACCCACCCTTAAACCTACCCATGCCACCAAACCTGTCCATAACCCAACCTCTATCCCAACTCAAGAGCACCACAAGTATTCTCAAATACATTATAAACACATTAAGTACATTGTATTTTTTTATGTAAGTACATAATAGTTTAGGACACTTAATTTAAATGGGACCGAAGAGTCAACTAAGCAATTCCAATAGGGCCTATGCACTGTTGGTGCCAGGTTCCTAATTAGAAACCATCAACAAAAGACTGACCCCTTTCACATTAACACATGCAAGCGCAGCCTTTAGAAGTCATTTCTGGTTGATTATGTCACAGAATTGACCAGTTTTTCGGAATTGATGTGGAAATGGTGCTTTTTACCATGAAGTAGCAAGTCCTGTTTGTCTTCTTCAGGTCAGAGGAGGGTGTTTGACTTATCGCCAGGCAGCTGTTTGTTCCATAGTGAGGTTTATGAGAACGGCTCCTCTATCAGCTATGATAACTGCACCACCTGCACCTGTGTGGACTCCACAGTGCTCTGCAGGAAGAGATGCTCTCCGCCTGGCAGCTGTCATGGCACTGCCTGCTGCGAAGCCTGCCAGTCTCTCCTCAAGATGGAAGATGTGAAATACTGCAGAGTCAAGAGCAAAATCTATAGGGTGAGGTCTCCTTGACGAACAATAATGATGAACTAGACCAGTGTTTCCCAACCACGTTCCTGGAGGACCAACGGCACTGCACACAAAACACACACCTGGTTCAGATCAGCAGCTCATTAGCAGAGACTGAAAGACCTGTAATGGGTGTGACAGATAAAACATGCAGTGTCGGGTGTCCTCCAGGAACGTAGTTGAGAAACACTGAGAGAGATGAAATATGCATGCATGTATTTCAGAAGACTTCATATATTTGTGTCTGTTCCCGGTTTAGGATGGCGACAGATGGTCGTCTGTGAACTGTTCTCTGTGCACATGCGTTAAAGGGAATATTCAATGTCAGCCTAAGATTTGCGTTCCTATCACCAGCTGTCCCTCGGTAAGTTTTGTTTTACAAGGCTCATAAAGACATCTAACAACAGGTGGATCTGAAGTCATCCGTATACTTTATAGTCATATCTATATACATTTCACTCATAGTGTGTACTCAAGGGTGTAGATGATGTGTCATATTGTAGCTTTTAAAAGTTTACACAGTCTCAAAGCCAATACATGGGACATTTTTTGGCATATTTCTTTTTGAAGCTTTATGTTGTACACATGACATAGAAAAAATGTCTACAAATGTCTACAAAATACAACTGAAGTCAGAATTATTAGCCCCCTGTATATATATTTTTTCCCAATTTCAGTTTAACGCAAAGAAGATTCTATTTCAACACATTTCTAAACATAATAGTTTTAATAAGTAATTTATTTTATCTTTGCCATGATGATAATACCGAATCATTTACTAGATATTTTTCAAGATACTAGTGTAATCCACCTGCACCCAACCCGATCTAGGCTGGGATTGAACCAGTGATTCTTTGCATGGGAGTGGGTTCCTCTAAAAACGAGGCTAAAGTCCATGGCCTCTAGTGTCTGTCGCTATAGCACCTTTTGAGGTGAGATGAGTGAGGTTTACCTGCATAGCACTTCGCTATCTGACCTCTTACAATCACCCCACCTAAACCTCACTCTCATCCCGGACGAGCCCCCACATGTAACCCACCGGTCCTACTGCACGCAATGCGGTCTAAACTGGGATCGAACCAGCAATTCTTTGAATGGGAGTCAGTTGCTCTAACAAGGAGGCTAAGACCATGGCCTTTAGCATCTGTTGCTAGAGCACCTTTGAAGTCAGAGGAATGAGGTTACCTGCATAGCACTTCGCTATCTGGCTTCTTTTACACTCACCCCCTTAAACCTCACTCTCATCTCAGACGAGCCCCCACATGTAACCCACCATACCTACTGCACCCAACCAGATCTGAGCTGGGATCTAGCAGACAATTCTTTGCTTGGGACTCTGTTGCTCTAACAAGGAAGCTTAAGACCATAGCTTCTAGCATCTGTTGCTATAGCACCTTTTGAGATCAGAGGAGCGAGGTTTACCTGCATAGCACATCGCTATCTGGCCTGTTTTACACTCACTAAAACCTCATTCCCATCCCGGACGAGCCCCCACATGTAACTCACCTGATGCAGTCTGAGCTGGGATTGAATTGGCGATTCTTTGCATGGGACTCTGTTATTCTAACAAGGAGGCTAAAGACCATGGCTCCTAGCATCTGTTGCTAGAGCACCTTTTGAAGTCAGAGGAGTGAGGTTACTTACATAGCCTCTTTTACACTCACCCCACCTAAACCTCACTCCCATCCCGGACAAGCCCCCACAAATAACTCACCGGTTTTACTGCATCCAATGTGGTCTAAGCTAGGATCAAACTGGTGATTCTTTTTATACGAGTCGGTTGCTCTAACAAGGAGGCTAAAGACCATGGCCTCTAGCGTCTGAGGTCAGCGGAGTGAGGTTTACCTGCGTCGCACTTTACCAGTTGGCCTCTGTTACACTAGTATTCAGCTTAAAGTGACATTTAAAGGCTTAATTAAATTAGGCAAATAATTGTATAACGATTGTTTGTTCGGTAGACAATCTAAAAAATATATTGCTTAAGGGGGCTAATAATGTTGACCTTAAAATTGTAAAAAATAAAAATAAAAAATGCTTTCATTCTAGCCGAAATAAAACAAATAAGAATTTCCCCTACAGAAAAAATATTATCAGACATACTGTGGAAAATTCTTTGATCTGTTAAACATTATTTGGGAAATATTCGAAAAAGAATAAAAAATTGACAGTAAAATAAAGTAAATGACTATACTAAAGTATACTGTATTCTATACGCCAAGGGTCACCAACCCTGTTCCAATTAATTAGGACCTGAAGCAGCACTTGATCATTTTGGTCAGGGTTGTAACTGAAATCTGCAGGAAGGTAGCTCTGCAGAACCAGGGTTGATGACCTCTGCTTTACAATTTTATTATTAATAATAATTAAAATTTATTTATAAATTGAATAATTTAAAAATACATACAGTGATATATACACTGATGTGGTCATATAATATTTCACAATACTGTTTTATTTTGCTCTGTGGTTAATTAGTGTACATAACATTCATTGTTCTAACACAAATTGATTACTTTGCATCAAGCTTAATTTAGCACTGCCTAAATGGGTTTGTTCCAGATGTTACAGTCAACCTGTCTGACTATTTTTGTCTCCATATGTAATTCTGTCTCACAATTTATTGCTTTTCAGAATAAGATACTGAATCGCACTGGCTGCTGTCCTGTTTGCACTGACAGTAAGTTGACTTCTTTACACGACACTCTTATTGGAATCTTAAAAACGAACTTTGAAGAATCAAAATCAAATTAATTACTTAAAATCTTAATTCAATAATTTTACAGTCAAATCTGCCACATGCTAAACAATGTAGTTTTAACCCTTTAACTGCCCCACCAACAATTTTTTTAACCGATATTCTCTCTCTTACTCTCTTCCTAACAGAGCCAGGCGTGTGTACCGTATTTGGAGACCCTCACTATAACACTTTTGATGGCCGTACCTTCAACTTCCAGGGCACGTGTAAATATGTGCTCACCAAGGACTGTTCCCCAGCGGCCAGTTTCACAGTGCTTGTGAAGAACGATGCCCGACGCACACGTTCCTTCTCATGGACCAAATCAGTGGAGCTGCACACGTCCGGTCTGAGCATCAGCCTTCACCAACACCTGACCGTCCGGCAGAACGGCACACGCATCGCTCTTCCCTTTCACAGCACCGGCGTCCACATCGACCTGGATGGATACCTGCTCAAACTCACCACCATCGCAGGTAATGGCCTGAAACACTCAGTTCTACTTACTCTTCATTCAAAATATCGTTTAGTGGTGGATTGGAAATGTACATTTAAGTGTATCCTCACAATGCAAATGCTGCTGAAAATGCAATGTTTTGATGAATATGTAAATGTCTGCTACATGTTTCCTCCTAAAAAGACAGAGATTAGACAACAGCAGTTAAAGGTATAGTTCCCCCACAACTGCAAATGTACTAAATTTTTACTCACCCTCAGGTGATTCCAAACCTTTTTGTGTTTATTTTTTGTTAAACACAAAAGAAGATATTTTGAAGAAAGCTGAAAACCTGTAACCATTGACGTCCATAGGAGGAAAAAGCAACGTATTGATGAATATGTAAATGTCTGCTACAATATTCTCCCTATCAAACAAAATAAACAGGAAAAAAAGACAACAGCAGTTAAAGGTGACCTATTAGTCCCCTTTTTACAAGATGTAAAATAAGAAACTGATATCCCTAGAGAGTGTGTGTGAAATTTCAGCTCAAAATACCAAACAAATAATGTTTTATAACTCTTTTAAACTGCTTCTGTGTCATTTTGGTGACTGTCGCTTTAAATTCAAATGAGATTGTGCTCTTTTCAAAAAAGGGCGGAGCTACAAATGTGTGTCAGCATAGTGACAGATTCAAAAACAAGACTAATAAATTATGCTAATGAGGGAAAGATCACCAATGGGTGGGGCTTTTCCTCTCTGATGACACGTACAAAGGGAGAATGTCAATCAAACTGTTTCTGCAGACTGTTTTTATCAAGTGTGATTATAAAAAAATACAATGAATACATTTTTACTCTTAGAAGCTGGTTATTTCCACAGACTGCTGCCACACAACTTCTTATAAATCTCTTATAAAAGGGACTTTTGCATAATAGGTCCTCTTTAAAGGAATAGTTCAACCACAAATAATAATTACTCACTTTATACTCACCCTCAGGTGGTTCCAAACCTTTAAGTTTCTTTGTTAAATGCAAAAATAGACATTTTTAAGAAACCTGAAACCATTGACAGCATTTCCAACATTCTCCAAAATATCTTTTAGAAGATATCTAGTATAGGGTTGGGTAGCGAAACTCTTTGGAACCGGTATGCACCGGATCAAATCAGCATATGAATTTCGGTGCTGCAACAAGAATGTAAAGCAGGACGTGCACCGGAAGCGCCGCTCGATGACGCGCAGTGCCATGCACTTTAGAATTTGCAGCCAAGACTGTTCATATTTCTGCCATGCCACAGAGCGCCATCTGAATACTTTTATTTTAAATAACATGCGAATGTGCACGTCTGGTGTGTGATAAACTCTGACGTGTTAAGCTCTGACGGCTCTGAGCGGCGCATCCGCTGTGTGACACACTTAAGAAGCATTAAAGGGAGAAATAAGTGAGCGTTGTGTCACACCATTTCTAAATGTTTAAGTCTAAACAGCTTTGAGGGATACGGATGTCAGCGATGTCAGGCATTTGTTATTGTAGCTTATTTAAGGCAAAGCGCGCAGTACGACGCATGCGGCGAGCGACACACTTCAAGACAACACGACAACATGCAAGATCGCGTTCATCTAATTTGCTTAAACTAAGCATTCTACAGTACGGCTATATTTTACAAGCACGGATTCTGACACACCAACATGCAGCATATGCTTTACAAAAGTTGCGCGTAAGGGAGAAACACGTCAAACTTATGAAATGTGAGGGCTCATGGAATCAACTTAAAGGTGAGGAATGGACTGTCTTTAACAGCTTGTGACATTATCAGGCACATTATCTGAGTATGTTTACATGAACACTAATACTCTGATTTTAATATGATTATGACAATATTCTGATCAAGAGTCTACCGTAAACAGTGATTTTTGATTATCTAAAGGACCACAGACACAAACTGCAGAGGAAACATTTATAGGCTGGTAACGCAATGACGTTGATGGATCTATGTGCTTTAACATGTAACTGGGAATCATGAATGTAACATTCAAAAAGAAACTCATGTAAACACCTGAATCATACTATTGTCTTATTCAGATTAAGGCAAATCATTAGATCACTGATGTCTATGTAAAGTAGTCACAAGCCCCAAACCCAGAAAAAAAGGTCTTCCCTGATTTTGATGATAGCCTTTCCACAAGTTAGTAGTAAGCTAATGTAATGTTAATAGCAGAATTTAAATCTTGCATTTATGCCTATAACAAATGCTTATATGCTTAATAAACAAATGATCAAAAGAAATATATTAATGCAAAAAAAAAAATATATATATATACATATATATATATATATATATATATATATATATATATATATATATATATATATATATATATATATATATATATTCATAACACAGTAATATTTAATAAAAGTTTCATTTTGCAATGATAAAAAAATCAGGAGGGTGAAATATATTGCATATATTGTACTGTATTTGGCTATAAAAGTTTATAATATACTCAACTACCTTAACATATATAGGTGTAAGTAGGATTGACATTTTGAGTTGTAAGAATTTTTTTTCCAGTGTAAGATTGAACCAACCTGAGGTGTCTTTGCACAATGCTAACCCTTGGACTGGGTTGTGATTTCATCAACTCTCCCATGCTTCTACAACATTTATCAGCATGCAACCTTTGTGCCGGCAGCTCAAATCCATCATTCCAGTCTACAGATAGTACAGTATGGAGACAGTTTACTTTACATTTACCACACCTTTCCTTTTCAAAAGAGCTGTTATACCTGTTTAAAGTGATCATTCAATACATTTCACATTGTTTGAAAGCAGTTTCACATTAATAATCTGTGATACTTGCCACTGTCGCCTTTGTTTTGTTTTTTACGCCTTAAGAAATTAATCCGTAAAATAACAAGTACTTGCACCTCATTAGTCTTGTTTTATAACAATAATTTACCCGACCAACCTTTAAACTAAACAAAATGCCAATAAAAGTCTCTTTGTTAAACTGAATGTTTAAATTACAATAAAAAAGTTGCCGGAGCAGATATCACGTTCCTATAATGCAATTTGACAGCATGCATACACCTGTGTATCCCAAACTCATACTTGTCAACACTGGGATGTGAAAATAAGGGATTTGCCCTCTATAATAAGGGATTCCCCCGACCCCCCCTTAAAAAATCCCCAAATTACTAAATATGCTCATTTGGAGCTGTTTAGTTGTAAATAAACAGTTAAATGGTCAGTAATATGTTTTATTATTATTTACAAAAGAAAAAATAAAAAGTAAACACTAGCAGCAAATAAATAAGCAAACAGTTCAGCTTATTAGAAATTAAAGCTATCATAAAGAAATAGAATTAAGCAATCAATTCTCATTAGCACATTAATCTAATTAATTTTGGGTGTTTCATTTTTAATCTTTCGACTTTTGTTTTAATGGAATTTGACACCGCATGGCGAACGGAAAGAAAAACCTCTGCATTTCGTGACTCGGTTGTTCTTTAAGGTAATCAAAAATCGCTGCTTACATGGTAGACTCTTAATAAGAGTATTATCTTAATCATATTGAAAGTGGAGTATTGGTGTCCATGTTAATGTACTCAGAAAGTGCCAGATGAAGTCGCGAGCTGTCAAAGACAGCGCATTCCTCTGCCTTTTAGCACGCACCCTTCAATGTTTCAGTAAGTTTGACCTGTTTCCCCCTTAAATTCAACTTTTGTAAAGCGTATGCGTATTTGTGTAATACAGCCATACTTAAGAACGCTTAGTTTAGGCAAATTTGATGAACGCAATCATGCGTGTTGAATCTGAAGGCAGTCGCTCCGCCTGCGCTGTCCTGCGTGCGTAAATTGTTTCTATGTTCTCAACTTACAGCAATACAACTTTACAATGAGTACAATTGTTTGTATTCAATACTTTATTGTTAGTATCATTTTCCATTTACCATATTTGCAATGCCTGCATTTTTTGCAGTCCATTTAGGCCGTACTCACACTAGGTACAGTTGCCTCGAACCGGGCCAGAGCATGCTTGTCCCCCCTCCCGTCTCCCCCGACGGCCCGAGCTCACACCACAATCGGGCTTCGGCACGCTTACGTCATCGCTGCTGTTCAGTGAGAAGCGCTCTCTCACTCAGCAGCACGGTGGACATTTCTCTAGTTATATCGTTTCAGTCGTTTGATATGCAGTGACATGCAGTCAAATATTTCGCAAAACAGTCCTTAGGGATGCGGGGACACGCAGTCAGATATTTCGCCGAACAGATCCGCCACTTTTGCCGCTTATAAACAATTATAAAGCTCTCGTGCTGCAGGAATGAGGAGGTCTGCTGTCGTGCAGTGAGGGGTTTGCGTCTTTAATCAACTACAGCAGTTTGTGTTCACTGAACAGTAAGAATGATTAATAAATCCATATGAAACAGCCCCTTAAAAGTCACGTCTCGCTTTCAGTTTCGGGCTTTGGCGCGTTTTGCACTCACACACAAGCGTACCGTGCCAAAGCCCAAGTGAACCGCGCTCAGGCCCACCTCTTCCAACCGGGCCAGGGCCGGCCAAGTGAACCGTGCTTGAGCCTAATTCAGCGCACTCACACTTCTCAAACGATCCGAGAAACAGGCCTGGGCACGGTACAGATGGCATAGTGTGAGTAGGCCCTTAGAATGCAACTTAGAAAACATTTTTTTCTTTATTGGTATTGATTGTTTTAAAATTCAAATGGCATCAACATGCCTGTGTTTTAATTTCTGTAATAAATATGGCTGTCAAGCCAGGATCTTGATGGTTTATTGTGGGTATGCTGTTTACATGAAGAAATCTGTGTTACAAGTTAAACAAAAATTCTAATAAACAATTATATTTTAAATTCAAATAGTTTTTGTCTTGCGTTTACATTAATTTTACATTTGAATTGCCAAAATTAAAAGTTTTAGTATTTTAAATGTGATTAATCACGATAAATAAAAAAAGTTGTGATTAATTAGTTAATTACTTTAATCAGTTGAAATCAGTAAATCATACATTTGATTTAAAGCATGTCTTACACAAACTAACATTACTGAAAAAGTTGACCCGTCCCCAATCCTCAATGTGTAATTCGAACACTATATACAAGAAAGTTGAATTGACTTATATGTTGTGTGTGTTCAGGACTGGAGATCACGTGGGATGGGGACAGTCTGGTGGAGGTGGTCGCAGCGCCTCATCTGAAGGGGCAGCTGTGTGGTCTTTGTGGAAACTACAACGGTCAGCGGCGAGACGACTCTCTTGGAGGAGACGGACAGTTTAAGTTTGACGTGGATGAACTTGCTGAATCGTGGCGTGTGGAGGACAACGAGCTGTGCGAAGTACAGAACCGCCGGCCCACATCCTTTCTCTGTGCCGGAACAGTCAAGGTGAAGCTCCGCGCTCACAGAACCTGCCAGAAGCTCAAGTCCTGGGAGTTTCAGAAGTGCCACTCTGCTGTCGACTTTACCTCCTTTTACAAGTGAGTTCACTAAACCTATGCAGTTCTGAACAATTTTTTAAGCCATCTGAAATTTGAGACAGAACTAATGCGTAATATAAGCAGTCATGTAAAGGCCGGGACACACCAAGCCTGAAGTATGCTGTTGGGTTTGTTCGGCTCATAGGTCAGGCTAGATGGTTAGGTGTGTGTGCGACAAATTGCCTCTCATGGGGTTAATTCGGATCACATTCAACATGTTGGATCATCAGCTGAAGAGAGTGCTCTAATTGGTTATTCAGCAGCCAATCAGAGCGCTAGCGAGACGTAGTGAAGTGCCAAACTAAGTAAACAATTCAAGTCAAGAAGTAACACAAAGGGGCCAGCTGTAATTTCGATATGTTTCTAAAATATTAGCAAATGAAAAAGATTATTAGATTATCAGAGATATTTGCTTAGTCAAATCTTTATGTGGTGACTGACAATTATTTTGATAATGGTATTCAACACTACGTTTTGCGCGCACGAACCAGAAGTTTCCATTTAGGGAACGAGAAAACAGATTACTGCCCTCACGGAGTCGAAAGACGCGGCTCTCATTTGAGTCAGCTTTTGTTTGTTTTCTTTTGTTTGGCTTTTTGCTCCAGGGGGGGCCCGCGTGATTAGGGGGCCCTGCGTCGTCACGATTTTCAATAATTGTAAATCCGGCAACTGCAATAATCAAACTCTTGGGAACAACTGTGGTTGGAACCAAAGTTCACAGGTCTGTGTTCTCTGAACACCTCTAAAGCGGTGGACTACTTTATTCTGATTGCTTGCCGCCTAACCGCGTCATACCTCATACCTTAAAGTAGACTTGATTTCAACTATCCTCGATGCTCACAACGGAGAGGACACGCTGTGCTGTTTCTCGCCGCCAGTTCTTCTGGGCACTTTGACGCTCTCGCCGCTTTCGGTTTGTGATTGCTCCTTAGTTTGTGAAGGCTTCCCCGCGTTGTCGCTCCACCCTGCCTCCCTTCCCCGCTCATCAATTTGTGGTCGCTTCCCCGTTTTGACCCCACCTCCTTCATCAGGGGGCTCCGTCAGTGATCCCTGCAGGGGGGCCTCCGCATTTTGTGCTACGCCACTGGTATGGCTGATAAATAGGGGACGGCCATGGAAGCCACGGCCCCAAAATGAAAAGTCATATGCATATCAGAGTTGTTCTGCATTTACTGAATCGTTTGGTTTTGGTAACCTACAGAGAGCGACTTGCATCTATCTGCTGCAAAAAATATCTAAAACGCTCATAACAAAACGCGATGTCTGCAGTTGTTTTTGAAGGAGACAAGCAGACATGATCACTGTGTTTGCACAGGGTCAGTCACACTTGTCGGTTGTCGCCAATGTAACACACACACAAATGAACGTTATGAGAACTAAAGTTTGTTGTACAGTTGGTGGATTACTCCTGTTATTTGGTACGATTGCATTTATATCAGTTCGTTATTTCACACGAACCGTACCTCTTTCAGGCGGACTCGGGTACAGTTCATGGATGAGCACCCGAGTTCAGATGACATGGTTAAGACTAGCGAAACATATCTAACTCTGACGTCAAACAAACCCTGATTACGGACCAAAAGTGCTAGTGTGAAAGCACCTTAAAAAAAGCTTTTAATCCTAAATTTGTAATGCCAAAATGCTAACCTAAAGTTCTTTTGTGTAGAAAGCCATCGGACTGGAGCCAGTAGGTGGAATTTACATGTATAGTCGTGAAATAAAATACAGTAATGCCGCGGTGAGAAATTCTGTTGTACAGCACTGCGAAAAGGGGCGGGATTAATCAAGATGATTAGACAGTAACAAAACTGAGTGATTGGTCCATATTTTAAATTCCTATGCAGCGAGGTCATGTTTTAATATTCAATTGGTCTCACGTAGTCACAGCAATTTTGCAGGTCAAAGTTCACCAAGCATTTGCATGCGTATGAATGGAAATCTATGAAGTGAAAAGTCCAGTGTGACAGTGGCTTAATTCTTAATTTTTTAAGCTAAAATGCATTGAAACTTGTTTCCGATACTCGTTTTTTTTTCTTTTTTTTTACATTTTGTGAGCTTTTATTTTATAATTCTGAATTTATATCTCTCGTAATAGTGACATTATTTATTACATATATTTTTTATTTCAACTTTACATCACCACTGAAAGCCTAGTGGGCAGTGCTTGTGTGACTGTGCTTTGGGCATCCGAGATCTGCAGCCCCCACAACCTCAACCATCAAAATACAGCCAAAAATCATCAAAAAATAAATCTTGCTTCTTTTTTTCTGTAACACTTTACTTTGATGGTCCATTTGAGTATTAGTAGACTGTCTGATTAATATCTGCTGATACTGCTCCTTCAACAGACATTTAACTGACTATAAGAAACTTAACTATAAGTACATGTCAACATACACTAACCCCAACCTAACAGTCTACTTATAATCTAATGAGAATTAGTTGGCATGTAGATGCAATTTAACTTAAATTGGTCACACTTTACAATGTTCATTAGTAACTGTTAATTCATGTATTTACTAACATAAACAAACAATGAACAATACATTTACTACTGTATTTGTTCATGTTAGTAAACGTTAGTTAATGAAAATACAGTAGTTCATTGTTAGTTCATGTTAACTCATGGTGCATTAACTAATGTTAATAAGCATGGACTTGGATGTTAATAATACATTAGTAAATATTTAATTATAATTAATAAATGCTGTACATGTGTTGTTCATGATTAGTTCATGTCAGTAAATGCATTAACTAATGAACCTTATTGTAAAGTGTTACCCTTAAATTCAGCAAATTGACCATCAAAAATAAAGTGTGACACTTTTTTACTCAACCTAATTGCAAGTTTATAGGCTTTCACAATTCCGACTATAGCTGAGGAAATTCAGGGTCTCTCCAGCAATCCTGAAAACTTTCTATTCAGGGACCGTAGAAGGTGTTCTGACTCAAGGTATCTCAGTGTGGTATGGAAACAGCTCAAACCAAGACCGCAAAGCACTTCAAACAGTTGTGCGTTTAGCTGAGCGCATCTCAGGGTCTGCTTTCCCCTCCTTGCAGGACATCTATATTAAACGCTGTAAGAATAGAGCTGTTAAAATCTGTAAGGACTTAAACCATCCTGACAATTATCTATTCACTTTGCTTCCATCTAGAAAACGATTTCGTAGCTTGATGGCAAAAACTGAGAGACTTAGGAAGAGTTTCTTTCCCCAGGCCATCAGGCTACTAAATTCTAACCCGGTGTTACACATTACGTGATTTTTTCGTATGTATCATTGTAGTAGTCATATTCATAAGTACATCATATTGCTGCTATTCTTATTACCTTGTATAATTTTTTTTGCACATCTTTTTTTTGCACGCTTTTTCTTTTTCTTCTTTTTTCCTTAATATTTAATTTTTTTGTTTATCTATACTTGCACTATCTCTGGAGCGGACCTGACCTACATTTCACTGCTGGTCATACTTTGTATAACTATGTATGTGACAAATAAAACTTGACTTGACTTGACTTGACTATATTTCTTGCACTTTTTCCCATAACTAGAAGATCGCTTATAATTGAAATGCTAAATTTGGACATTTAAAACTTGGAATTGCAAATTTGTAAGTCAAAGAGAAGTTTAAACTTGCTATCATATGACAAAAAAAAACTTTAACTTTAAGATGTTAACTAGAAATGACAAGAAAAAGTATTAAATGGGTTAATTTGTTAGACAAAAGTCATAATTAAATGTTTTATTCTTTGACTCATTTTCATTTCTCATAAAAATGCCGAACTAAACATTTGTAAAGTAGAAAATTCTAAAGACAAGGATGCTGTATAAGTAGATCAATCGAAAAGTTGTCATGCATGCATTGTTTGTTTTTTGAGGTAAAAATCAAATGCTCTGAACATGTTAAGTATTTTGGCAAAACTTCAACACAAATTATGAAGAAATCACCACACAAGAGTACTACACTGCTTAAAGTTCTTCTGCTTCTTGACTGTATCTCTGTGCTCCTCTCTTTAGGTCGTGTGTAACAGACATGTGTGAGTGTCCAGTGCATAAGAACTGTTTCTGTGAGTCCTTCATAGCGTT